CCCGGTGGTGCTCCCTGTCCTCCGTACTTGGATCTCGAAGTCCAGCCCTCTCGTCCACAAACAAATACCGGGAATCTGCTATACCAACCCGGTAATATAACAAACTAACAGCCAAGATTCAGGAACAACCGCCACCCACCAAACTTTCCCCTTCACATGGCACATGCAAAGTCAAGAATCCCATCTCATAAAAAAGGTCTTTGCCGAGGGAGGTTCCGATTAAGACGGCGTTAACACCGTCTTTGTCGCCATCGTCGACCACTTCAGCACCCCTAATCTGCCGCACTTAGCCCTGTCGACCGATCCCGGGCCATAGGAAGCTTTGTTCCCAGAACAGCTTCCATTCTGAAGATCCGACGATCTTTCTTACAAGTTCAGGAACCAATCTCCCCCACGTCTGACCGATAGGCGATTTGTCGGCTCATCCCCTTATCGACCACCCCAAAAGCTCTGAGCAACTGTTGAGCTCATCTAGAAACGGCTCGGAATATTTTTTCAACGCGCGAGTGTACCGCGTTGTTGGTCAATAATCTACTAGGGGAAAGGCACGGATGTCCGCTTTACGAACGAGCTTTGTGGATGAACCCGTCTCATTCCTCAGCTTGGACAATTTTGAACAGTAGCTCATCCCAACCAGTCCAGCAGTTCAACTTATCTCAGAGCTGTCATCCAACCCTATACACCATTCATGTGTTAGTAGGATCTGGCTTCAAACAGCTTTTACGACGACGAGTAGGTACACGATCACAAAATGAAGTTTCTGTGTCTTCCAGGTGCGTATGGAAGCGCAAAGGTAAGTCTCGTTCTCCAATACTTCAAGCACTACTAACATGCGTCTCAGAATTTTGAGGTCCAATTGGGTACGTATATCCAACTATCGCATTGGTCATATGCTGAAGTCCTCTAGCCCCGTTCTGCAAAGAGATGAGCACAGATGGAACAGCAGAGTTCTTTTTCACACAAGGAGAAAACAAATGCATCCCACCTCCAGGATTCGAAGACTACTTTGGACCAGCTCCTCATTATCGCTTCATCGAATATGACGGCATAGAACAGAATGATGTCCTGGAACGAGTGCGCGATTTCCCTGAAGGCGAGAACCCGGAAGATGTCCTTAGAGAACTCATGCCAGAGGGAAGTGAGAAGGTTCAACAAAGCGTTAGGAACGCACTGGATGCTCTCTACCTCATCATGGAACAACATGGCCCTTTTGATGCCATATGTGCATACAGCGAAGGAACAGTCATCAGCGGCTCTCTGATCATGGACGAGCAACGACGATTTGAGAAGGAAGGGAGACCGAGACAGATCAAGCAAGCTGTATTCTTTGCTGGCTGGCCTCCCCTCAAGCCAGATTCCAATGAGATGCTACTCTCAGACATCAGCGAAGAAGTCATCGATATCCCAACATTGCATTGTGTTGGTGCTGATGATCCGTACTTGCATGGAGCTATGGCCCTCTTCAACGTTTGTGATCAGGATGAAGCTATTCTATTCGATCACGGGAAAGGACATACCATTCCTCGAGATGCGCAAACACTTCAAGAGTTGGGAGACGCAGTGCGCGGACTACCTTTGGCGAGTTTTTGAGAAGGTTGAGAGAACGGATCGGCGTTTCAACAGATATAATTCTTAGATCATAGATGTCAAAAGCCGGCTTGAGCCTGAAATAAGATCAGTCTCGGAGACTACTGCAAGTCCAGCATCTTCATCACGATTTGTTGAAGCTTTGCAAAGAGACCTGAGAGTTTTCATATGCACAACACAGTAGATAATTTTCCTGCAAGAACCACTTGGTGCAGCAGATGGAAAGTTACTTTCGGCACCGCTCCGAATCTCATCATCTCATCCCCAAGAAAGGGTCTTGCAGTGTAAGAAGTCAAAAATTAACTTTATGATATAGACTTTATTCCTCTTCATCTCATCTCATCTCCCCTCTTCCCGTGTTTCATATCTTAAACTCAACATAGTGAGATCTCCAAATCGTTATTTCCCCAATAAACCTCAAATCAATAATCACCAACGATCCCAATCTCAGCCCATCGGCATCTTCCCCCAACTAATTCTCAAGCGCACGCCACCAATCAAAAACGGATCCGAACTCGAAAAACCCTCGGACACCGCACCCTAAAACGTGGCGTGCAGGTTCGCTCCCACTGCCGATCCGTCCCACCCACTACCGAGGAGGGAAAGGAGGATCAACGGGCTGGGCAAGGATCTTCGGTACTGTAGGTACGTGCTTGTCCCCCGTTCGAAAACCAACCCAATTGACTTCTTTCCCCGCTGCATATAGTACCTCAGACGGGCAGAGACCTTCTTTGGGTGCGGCTTGCGTGGTCTTTTGGAGGGAGGGGTGGTTTTGTAATCGAATGGGCATCTGAAAGTCCGAGAAATAGCGAGAGAGAAAGGAGAGCGAGGTTGTTGAAGGTGCGAGATGGGTAGCTTGTGAAATAGTGTGGTTTGCTTTTGCCTAAACGGCATAGCAAGGCAGTGGACTTGGAGTCCTAGTGTGGTTGAGGAGAGACGGGAGCTTATCGATAAAGATATCGCGACTCGGGTCTAGTAATGCTAAGTCTATCGATGCGATGAGATACGTGATGTTTGGTAATAAAATGATGAGCTGAAGAGATTGAAGGCAGAAGACATGAAAGAAGGCCCGAGATCTGGGTTGAGATGTAAGAGATTGTATACACGTGGTGGAGATCCTGAGATCTAAAGGAGTACAATGCTCCTTGAAGCTACCATTGAGGCGGCACTTAGTCCAGATCCAGGAGGTAAATTTTCAACATCCTTTGACTCCCGATTGAGGGGAAGGTATTCCAGGGAGGTCATGTCATATGTGATTTCCACAAGCCATGCAGCTTCACTCCTTCACTACGCTTTGTCCGAGGTCGTCTCAGAGATATTGCTTCATTTTGAAGAGTCCAGATATCCTTCCGCACTAGTCTTGATTACTCAACCATTCCAGTTCACACCTTCTCCTTTCTGCACGTCGGAATAGTTTTCGTTCAAGTCCAGAGAAGGCTAATAACCATCTACCCAGCATCATAGCCGTCTCGCGTCTGGAGGAACCCCCCTCCAAAAGGCTTTGGACTTCAGATATTCAGAGCGAGGCGTGATACATGTGGTGAAGAAATCTTTGGATTGACCTTCTAGGAGAGGTACAGAGTTTTGAAATTTTGGTAGAGTAAGGGTGAGAGATGCATTGTGTTTCACTTGAACGTCTTGCATGAGATGATGTTTTGTTTTAGGGCCTGCCTTGCTACCTTGTTGGAAGTAGAGAGCACCTAGGCTCGATTGCATTTGCAGAGTGTGATAAATAGTAAAAAATAATTGGGAACGGAAATGCAAAGGCAAGATTTAGGTCATGATGCATGACTTGCCAGATCCAATCCGTGACCTTTGGGATATTTCTTGTGTCTGCTCGGATAACGAGAGGAGCGAGTCCATACAGTTATGAACTGCCAAGGTGGCCTATATTTCCGAGATCAGACCCCGTATATGCCCTACGTCTCTGAGTTTAAAGACAAATTGTTCTTTCTTGTGTGGATAGCCAGGATATATTTCTAAAATGTCCAAAACGTGTCACTCCCATTGCAAGCTTGGAGCAATAGAGTGGAGGTCGCTCGAGGGGTTTCAGTGAGCTAACTCTTAGGCGTCGGTACCTGCAATTCAGTTTCCGAATAGAGCAACCTCCGGATGTACTCGGGTGTACCCAGCGTCCAGCAGCTAAATGCAGAGATGGTCTCCCAAACGATTCGAAAGTCTGATTCTCTCCCCAAGCTATGCCCAATCCTTCCCGCACAGGTATGGATTTCGTCTGCATCTACGTGCGTGATGTTTCGAAGTAAATATGTGTGCTTTAAGGCCGAACATCGCACAGTTTGTAGGCCAGAAAGACTTCTAATCTTTCGCCAGTCGTCACACAGCTAGCCCTCTCCAGATCGTACTTCGAAGCAGGTGAGATCGTCGAGAACGAGAGGTAGGGGCATGGCGTGGAGCTCGAGTGTAGTTTTTCGAAAAAGGTGACCCAGTCATTATTCGTGGAAGTCTTTTGTAGAATATTCAGGTCGTCGCAGGATATGATAGTGATATGCTGTCATGATCCTGAGTAAATTGGTGAAGTTGGAACAATGATGTCAAGATCGGAGGCGGCCGCTAGCGTAAGTTCTCAATTCAGATCTAGCAACGTCTTCTGCCTCTTTTTACTTTAAACATACTTTACCACTAATTTACATGATTATACTTTATTCTGCTGATAGAATTAAGAACTCTTCAATAATCCTACTTTATTGGCATAGCGATCTAAGTATTTATTCCACTCTGTAACGATGCTTAAAGTGACTATCCTTCCTACCATCTCCCTTCCGTCTTAGCAACCTCCTCTATCAGCACTTCCTACCTTAACTTACTATTAACTTCGGATGGCTCTTAACGACGGCTTATTATTCTCTAGCATCGACCAAAGACCACTCAACACCCGGATCCCTAGACACAACGCGAGCGAATGAGCAAATAACATTACATCTCGATGTCTGCAACTCTGCATGTTGAAATCACGAGCAAGAAAATACCGTCAAATATCGTCTAGGACAAATTCGAAGATCGAAGATGAGGTTTCAAGATCTTCCTAGGCAGAATTCGACTGCACCGAAATGGACCCTATTTACGCGCATTTTCATTTTCCAGCCGTCGATGTATCAGTGCCAACAAAGGCATACGCAGCTGTAGCTCCGATGATGTCCTTTGACCCCGCTGTTCCCACGAACCACTCGAGCAGAATTCCCGCAAGCAGGACGAACAAACTCGTAGTCAAAATCAACATGGGAACCGCCAGTGCAAAACTCCGAATCCATCCATGACCAAAGTTTGGGCAGGCTCGCTTGGCATCTTGGTGGCCGCCCGAACCCCGGACAAATGCTCAATCAGCACCTGGGATTCGAGGCGACCATTCTCACCATCTCTTGGGAGGAAGTAGTCTCTTCTCCTAGCCAGCTCTTCTGGATCATTGACTTTCACTCCATTTTCTTCAAGTGGCAGAAATATGTCTATCATGCCATCCACAAGCTCCCTCGCCGCGATTCTGGGCAGATCCGCAGGAGTCCGCCATCTTTCGTTGGCAATTATGTCATGATTATTCTCATTGTGAACAAACGAAGGAAATGTATCAGCGTTATATGATGTATATCCAAATCCTGACTCCTCATTTCTTTCTTGCAATTCTCTCATATCAAAATCATCTTTATTCGAGTCGTTCCAGATTCCCTTGATAAGGTCGAGGTTTTGGGTACACACTTCGTCCTGGACAATACAGTGTTCATGGTTTGAGGGTATCCCTGTATATGGGCTACTCCGTGTGGGCCGCGAGACACTCTCAAGAAGTTGTCTGGGCCAGTTTCCTCGTCGCAAAACATATTCCTCGACTCCTTGCCGAGCCAATTGTTGATTTAGATGATCAGATCGTTCTTCAGAGATCATTTGCCCATATTTGCTCATGCATTTTCGAATCTTGAGGGCGCCCTAGGTTGCGATTGAGTCCCAGTAGCCGTCAGGCGGCGGAAATACCCAATTCTCTGCATGTCCATGAACGGAGGAGATGTGCCCCCAAATCTTGAACATCTCGAGCTGCATCACATCCCTGATTTTTGTTACCAAACTTTCCCAAGTAACCCGGCTCTTGATGGGATACAAGAATGTAAGATATGCCCGCAACATGGGCGAAAGGCAAGAACTACCCTCTAAAATGTTCTCTTAGTATTTTACGCCAGCGGGCTCATTGTTTCCTCCCGTGTTTGATCAGTTGGCGATCGAGTGATCTTTCTATCTTTGTGTCTTTGCTGCAATCCTGTTTTGACGATTAAAGTTGCAGTCTCTCTTTTCGCATACATCCATTGTTGTTAGTCAGCTTTTCGAACGTTTAACACGAACTGAACTCTCGTAACCTCATGCACACTCATTCTGCTACCCTGATCACTAAGCTATCTTGGGACTCAGCAGTGTCTTTCACGAAAGACGCTTCATATCGGTCTGCATCTACGTGCGCTGGAGCCGAAGTTGTCGTTCACTGAAGGTGAGAAATTTCTCCTGATGAAGATCGCGCAGATTTGTCTTTCATCTGAAATATATCTCACCATCCCTTGTGTAATACAGCTGTTCTTCATTCCAAACAGGCAAAATTTACAAGGGCGCTCGAGACACATTCTTTTGTTCCTTTCTATATATTTGTCGTATCGGCGTCTCATGTGCACCTCCTCAAATCATTCCAGCTTTACAGGTATACATTTGAAATGCCGAATTCTTGGGGGTTCACTGAAGCCGCACTGAATGGCCCATGTAATGTCCTCGGCGGGCAAGCTGTTTATCTTGGTTGTTTCCTAACAGGTACGACCGCGCCAAACTTCCCCGCCTACAACCAAGCGCCATGGGTTGCGGGGTATCCCATACCCCCAACAGTTTAGGTGGTGAACAACAAACCGACGATAATATACGGGACAGGATACAATGCCCCGTTATGGTTGTTGCAATTTCTACCTGGTGCATTTCCTTCTCCCCGCATCCAGTATATCCAAGCTTCCGCTAATACCAGAGTAGATAACGGCGACTTTATTGGAGCATACCCTCCTGCAGGCACCTCGTACTGGACCACGATAGAGACGCCATACAATTGTACTCTGGTTTGCAGTATGGGAGGGTTCAAGCACACTACCATGATCATGGGATAGTGTGCTTGTTCCACAAACCTTGTTGGATATGGATTCGTACCATCCAATAGTTCGGGGGTGCTCGATAATACAATCAAGTCTCAGGGACAGTACAGCGCATGCACTAATGCCGGACCAGCAGAAAATCGGGTGGAAAATTGCTATGGCGACTTCACTCAAACCGGGTGCGGATGGCAAGTCAAATACTACGCCGATGGATATGACTACCAAAACAGTAGTCTGGATGGCATCTACGCTGCGGCAGTTTATGTCGATCCTTCATTCGCGACCGACGGATCCTTGGTGCCTTCGATTGAACAATATAATTTCAAATATCTTGGATGTTTGGAGGATGGCGAGGATGGCGCCGACGAGAACACCGGCATCCTGCGGCCTGTGATTACTGTGCAGCTCACAGCTAGCAGCACTTTCATGCTTGATTGCTTTGAATTCTGCGCGAGCCTCAACATGCCCTATGCAGGCCTGGCATCGCAAACGTTGGTTTCGAATTAAGCTTGTCATTAGTCATTGCTAATATATGGACAGCACTAATACCGGTTATTTCGGTCCATCTACAAGCACAACCTGCCTTTGTGGGGTTTCGTTTCGGGGTATTGTATTTCCTATTGCAAATAGTGACGAATCTTGCAACGGTTCTCCGGTCACAGGTCTAGCGTAAGCCCCTCTGTCGATTGTGTGCTAATTAATGATTGACTTGTGATTAGAGATGGATCATGCATCATTGGGGTCAACTGTATTGGTATTTGGGCACCAGATGGTGTAACGTTACGGGTGGGATCTGGTTCGCCTTCTATCGTAATCCGAATTACCTTGGATGTTACGAGCCGCCAATATTGGGAATCACACCACCACCAGTGGAAAACATATATTCCTCCGCGTACTGTTTCCCATCAAATTATCCACCAGGGACTACCTCGAAGACTCTACCAAGTTTTACTTCAGGCGCTATCACTGTGAATACGCAAATACCGGCCGCGCAGGTTTGGGTGTCACCACAGTACCCTCAATACACCTATCTTGGCTGTTACGGCAATGGCAGCATTTTCCTAGATTTTACAAATATGACCCAGACGCCCACCGACACGACAATGTTGCGAGTAGAAGATTGTATGCAGTACTGTTCTGGTGCGGGTGGTAACGGCACCATCCATGCCGCGGTATATGGCACGGCATATCTTGGTGGGAAAGGAATGTAAGAAAGGAACATTTCGAGTAATTGTCTCCAATGCTAATCTACCAGTGTTTGCTTATGCGGAAACAATGTCAATCTCAATAATCAGCTCTACGCCTGGAATTGCACTTATCCCTGTGGAGTCGGTGGCTCAAACTTGTTTGGTGAGCTCTGTGATGGGTACGATGCTGCAGATGGGATTGGATCTAGTGGGACGGCCGCACCTGGAGGATTCAACGTTGCTCCAATCGGACTTTATGGACCTACTTCTCTTCTGACTGCTTCACCAGCAGGGGTGAGCAGGTCTATTACACAACGAATGTTTGGACGTGCATTCCAACACCCTGCGTGCCTGGAACCTACACACCTTTCTGTGCACCTACTTTGACCATAATGACATGTACGCCAACTGTTGTGACGTGCACTCCTACCGTTTCCACCACGACACCTATATGCGTCAACACACCAGGACCAACATGCAGCAAAGGCACTAATTGCAAAAATGCAATTAGTGAAAATCTAGCAAGTTGGTCCTCTTTCTGCATAACCTATACGGCGACTATCAATCTGGCATCCACGAGTCTTCCAACATATGCTAGCGCCTGTAGTTCTACACCATCCAGCTATAGCTCATTCTGTACGTGCGTTGTTGGACCGTGTAACCCAACACCATATCCAGTAACGCTATGTAGTCCAACACCGACAACGATACCTTGTACACCGACACCTGTTACGATACCATGTACAGGAAACGCAACATATCGCTCTTGTCCAAGTTCGAGCTCGTCATCTTCGTCACAGATTTCTAGTTCATCGACGCTGTTTACCAGCAGCAGCTCAACAAGTTCACGTTTATCTACTTCAAGCTCCAGTTTAACTATTTCAATATCCAGCTCCAGCTCATCTTCATACCAAAGTTCTACTTCCTCGATGCCTTTTATTACCAGCAGTAGCTCAACACTAAGTTCAAGTTCATCTAGTGTGATATCTTCACCCTCGAGCTCAAATTCGAGCTTTCCCACCTTCTCTTCATCCCAGATATCTAGTTCATCGACACTATTCACAAGCAGCTCGACACCAAGTTCAAGTTCGAGTGTCATATTTTCACCCTCAGATTCTAGTCAAAGCTCAAGTTCGAGTGTTTCCAGCCCCAGCTCATCGTCAAGTGGCTCTTCAATGCCCCTTTCATCAAGTAGTTCTTCAACTCTGCTTTCATCGAGCTCTTCCGGTTCGATACCCCTCCTATCAAGCACCTCATCATATTTGGTTTCGTCTTCAACAGCCCTAGTCTTGTCATCTTCCTCGTCCACAACCCTTTCAACGAGCCAATCCACCCCACTTTCACCATCTATAATTCTGGTTCCATCTTCCTCCTTACCTATAGCTCTGTCAAGCCAAACTTCCACGACGATGTCAGCTCCAGAACAAAGCACGTCGTCTAAATACACCTCAACAAGTGCACAAGGTCTCACGCCACTGAGTAGTGGTGCCTCTCTCCCGGAGTCTTCAGACGTACCACAGGAAACGACTAGTACAACAAGCTCATCAAAAAAATCTACACAATCTCAAGTAGCCGTAGTAACCTCTTCGATCACAAGTTCGCAACCTCAAGCTCCTGTCTCACTGGTACCTACGACGCAATCCACAACTGACATCCCCCCCCCCCCCCAAATGAAAACTCCCCGCCCCCCCCCCCCCCCCCATAATGACATCTCCGAGCTCACTCGGCACATCCTCGACTTCACTGGTCCAAGTTTCACCTGTTCAAAAGACATCTTCCGTAACATCATCCATAACAAAACTCTTAATCCCCTTCGAGTCTACCTCCGCGGGAAATCGAAAGGTTCCTGGAGCCGCTAGTACCCTTGTTTCGGAAGAGACAGAAGCCGCTTCACATGGCGCAATTCTGCAGGTCACGACGGCTACCTCATCACAAATGATTGTACCTGCCATACCAGGATCTTCGACAGAAGTAATAGTGGTGGGGGACTTTACTTCCGTACCAACCATGAAAGCACCTGTCTTACAAGAACCTTCGACAGGAGTTATCGCACACATTGCCTCCCAAGAACAAAGTAATGCTCAGGCACCGAGCCTCGAAGCAAGTCCTAACGGTATTGTCCCAACGGCTACTTCGGCACACGTCGTTGTGCCGGCTGTCTCCACTTCTGGAATTATCCTTCAGATTATGCCACTTGGAGTTCACAAACGACAATCATCCAACACTTACTTGGTTCCTAAATCTCCATTCGGTGAACTTATATGCGATTCAAGCATTACCTTCACGTTAGAAAGTGGTCAGCTATCAACGTCCAATGGTGGACACTTGTCTACAACCAATGGAGCTACATGGATGGCTTTCCAAGCTCTTTCTTCTATACTCGCAATCAACACGGAATTTACTATAGACAGAAACAGATATCTAGTATGGCTTAACGATGCGTTTGTAGGCGGGCAAGCGCTCTTTTGCGAAGAGCAGAGTGGACAAATCGATATCTTATTTCAAGGATCAAATGATGCAAATGATGTGTCTTATCCGGGTTATGGAACTACCTGCGCTCCAGTATCTCTGATGATTGTTCAAGATACCCATTATTTGCACTTCCCTTCTTTCGCGATTGAATATTCATGTTTAATTCTCTAGGGACAGTGTGTTACAACTCGACGATGAGTATGACTGTATCGGACGCCGCTGTTGGAACTTGCCCAGTTTATCCTTCGGATTGGTACACATATTCGCCCTCGGGAGTATCTTGCATCCCGCACACTCTTACCTGGGAACAATTTGGAAGTACTCCTTCCCCGGTTGCGTAGGTATTTATAGATGGGATTGCGAAATGATCGAAACCTGTCAAGAGCCGATTGAAAAGTCTGCCATCCATATTCTTATCATAAAAGCAAGTTGTGAGAAGGTAATGCATTTTATTCCCTTGGTAGGATGATTTTCGCAAAGCAGAAAATATTTGAATGAACACAAACGCTAAGTGCTGATATTGGAGTGTGGCTCGCTAAAATTAGGGGGTTCGCTTAGGGGGTCCAAAGAACAGCATAGCCGAATCGCAAGTGCAACATGAATCAAGAACGAAAGCTCACGATTGATTAATATTCCTTCTAGTATCTTTGGCTGAAAGTAATCTCCTGTTCCTATCAACACAATTGAACAACAAATTTTACCCACGGAATCCATCAATAACCTTCCCACCTTCAGCAACAACACCTTGGAGCGACATAGGGTCAAGTCCAAGTGCCTGCAAGATCGTGGGAGCAAACTCTTTGGTGAAAACTTGATGATTAAACACGGTCCTCTCTATGTTGGTAGCACTGGCGAAACAGGCGACCTTACGGTCATCGTCGCTGAGACCGCCGTGCTCGGCGATCTTGGAGGTGGAGGTTGTGTAGATCGTGCCGAGCTTTGGCTTGATGATGATGTTTGGGACAGCAGGGTCGGTGGATGGGTCTCCTGGAATGGGTGTTAGTATTTCACGACGGGTTGTGGAAAGGGAGAGACGGACCATAGCCCAGGTAGGTCAAACGGTCGCCGGAGATGATGTCGTCGATCTTCAAGGCGTCGCGTTGGCCGTTCAAATTGTCCACAGCGGCATCTGTGTCGCGGGCATCGACGAGGAAGACAAGACCGATATCATCAGTGGTGATGAATGCGACTGGGACCTTGATCGCTGTCCACTCGTTAGCTACTTAATCTGGCCTTCCATGGGATAACTTACCAGGAGGCAAAAGAGCTTGGTCAACTTTGTTATATAGAGTGGGATCAATTGGTGCTTGGCCGTGCTTGGAAGCGACAATGATGAGGGTATCATCAAAGACTCCCTTGGTCTTCAAGGCAGAGACGACTTGACCAATCGAGTTATCGACAAAGTCGAGAGCCCTGAGGAGTTCGGGTGTGAAGTCGAGGCTGCCAGCAACGTATCCATAAGTCTTCTGACCAACGGACACAGCTTGAAAGTTACCGCCGAAAAGAGTTGGGATACCAGTAAGAGGGTCCTGGACCTCGGAGTTGACGAGACTAGTACCGTTGATCCAAGCAAGCCAAGAATTGACGTGCATTTGATCATATCCGATGATTTGAGTGAGGTTGGTAGTGTCGAAAGCTTGGATTTCTGGGAAATATCCAACACTGAGACCCTTCCCAGATGGACCACGGACCATGTCGTAAGCAGGGTGCTTATCAGTATAGGCAGTCTGCTTGCCGGATGCCTCGACAATCTCGTAAATAGTGTTGACGCGGATTCTCTGATGAGGATATGTCCATGTGCACTTTCTGCCAATAATAGACTGGGGCAAGTTGGCAGGATCGATACCTCCTGACCAGACCTTCGTGGAGTCATAGTCCTTGGTTTCATCGTAAGTCACTGGAATCATAAGTGTGTTGGACTTGACATGAGGTTTGGTCACTTGCCTTCAGCGCCTGGTGGTCCGCTGCAGTTGGTACCAGTGGTGGAGTATGGAGACCAGAAGGACCGATCATAAGTATCATCGTACCAGATACCTACGTGGAGACATGTGAGCATTTACTTCATTTGGAGCTGGTGTCTCCATACCGGTGGTTCTGGGATCAGCGCCAGACACGAAGGCGGCGACGCCAGGATACGAGTCAGAAGGTGCACTGGTATAGCAGTCGGTATACTCATATGCTGTCTTCAACAGGGTCGCAATGGTGGAGTCTGGTCTCTTGGCGACGTACTTCTCAACATCGCTGCCGTGGAGACCGTCAACGCTGAAAGTTACAACGTGTTTGTAGACCTTGTCATTGTCGGTAGCAAGGGCCGGGGCGACAGCAGCAGCGAATGCGAGAGCCTTGAGAAGCATAATGATCTGAGGTCGCTGAAGATTGGCTTAGTGATAGGGATAGAGCACGGGGAGGTCAGGAATTGGGATATCGGCGGCTCTATATATCGCATTCTGGGACGTTGGAGATCACCATCTCTGCCGCTGTGCTCCCACGGCGTCTGATGGTCTGTCACTGTCTTTGAGGCTGACAAGCCGTCATGACGGCTCGCCTGGATAGGTGATGGAGTGAAAGCAGCTGATGTTCATGAAAAACACGGTGGAAGAAGAAACGAAGGTCGCGAGCTGCATAGAACGATTGTAGGATGAGGAAGTCGCCAATTGATATTCGAAAGGATGTCACCACTGCAGCGTGCCTTGCCATTACAGGGGAGCTGTACTTCCTTAGTGAGGGGTAGGTAGGCACGGCGTCAGAATGAGCAACGATCCTGGAGCTCTCTTAACATCTCTGGGAGAAACAACGGGATGCCCGTGGTCGGGGAGAGTAGGAATTACTGGTGAAAGCACAGATGCGAATCTGGCACGTGGAGAAGTGATTGGGATGGTGTGCTGGGGGCGTTTCGGTGGCTTTTTAGTGATCGCTATCAGTTCCAGACAGTGCCTGACTCCCCGCGTAAGACCCGACAATTGTGCTGCGATGTGGCGCCTTTAGTGCTTCCGCTCCCCTGAAGCGAAGAAGCTTAAATGGAAGGTCGCTGAAAATATCACCATTTGAAGTCTTCTATCCCTCCCCCACCGGCCTTCTCATCAATGTCTGTTCACTCATCTTGCGACTGTATGTCACCGTGGCATGCCAAGCTTTTAGGTTAAGTCGTCTAAAGGCCAAAGTATTCAAATATCTCAAGCCCAGGCTCCAAACTCTGGAGTCTGAAGACAATGGCTTCAGCGGCGGCACGAGACATTCCAATCATCCACGCTGATGAAGAAAACGTGCCAAAGCCTCGATACACGTGCTTGAATTGTCACCGTTTACAGTCGTCGTACTTCAAATCTTAGCTAGACATGAGGCATTTTGATATTATAGGATTTGCAGCTTCACTCCAAACAACACAATCTTCCTCAACGAGTACTTGTTGGCGAAGGACTTAACCAATCCGGCGCAAATATTTACACTGCATTAGAGCTTAAGTTACTCCCAAACCACTTCCTGGCATGGTTGGCCTCCAACGATTAAATTCACATCACGTGGCTGCCTGCAATGTATTGTCCTACTCTCTACCTAGGTGTATTTGGAAGCTTCGACATTAATGAAAGGCTAACTCTTCTGCAGAACCATACGTGCATCTCTTTCGACACCACTGAAGCCCTGAAAACGCCAGGAGACATGGTCTCGTCAGGTGACCTTCAATTTTGCTCTTCCACCCGAAAGCGGCCGAGGCGAAGGCCAGAAAACCTTTCCACTCCACAATTTTTGCCTATTCTCATCATCGCAAAAGCCTCAACCCACGACACCGTTCTCCGGACCGCCAAGCCTCTATTTGAGTATCATGATTTCAGCCTGCATGAGAAGTGCCGTTCAGGCATGTCAGATGCCATCGTTCGGGAAAGTAGTCTGCGAGCGCCGAACTACCCCGCCATACTGCAGGAACTAGGACCACTCGGAGTATAGATCTGCCTGTGTTCCCCAAGTCTTTTTCTTGCAAGTGCAGAAATGTCATTGTTAGTGAGGGGCATTTGAGGTTTCTTATGTAACGTGGTAAGATGGATAGATATACTTTTCACGTAATCTTCTAGGCCCTACGCCCAGGAGCGGGGTTCGTTGTTGAGAGTGTTGTTGATAGGTGGGGGAGACACAGCTGCTTCATATTGTTTTCAAAGTCTGCAACATTCGAGTTCCTGTTAAGTGTTTTTAATAGCAGCATCATGCATTATTTCAAGATTGGAGCTTTGGCGGCCTCTGCTACATGGTCTGTTGCAATGGCCGGGAAGATTGGAAAGCGTAGTTTTGATGTTTTCGATTATGTTGATCCCTTGACTGGGACAAGTAATGGAGGTGAATGTCTCTTCTTGGGTTTTAAGAATGGCAGCTAATGAGGCTGAAGGGCACGTGTTTCCTGGAGCGACGCTTCCTTTTGTATGTTTCTCTTCACCCTTTCGGTGAACAACGCATTGATTACGACGTTCAGGGCATGGCCAAAGCTGTTGCCGATGTGGATGATCCAAACGAGAAACAGGGAGGTTTTGCATCGGGCGACAGTAACATCAATGGATTTTCTCACATGCACGACTCGGGCACAGGCGGGGTAAGCACTCCTTGAAAATGAGAACTCTGGCTGATGAATTCAGTCTCCGTCTCTGGGAAATTTCCCCATTTTCCCCCAGTCTGGTTGTCCTGGAGACATTGTCGATAATTGTTTCTTCACTAAGACAGAACGAGCTTCTCAGAGAATTAATGGTTCGATTGAAGCACATCCTGGATACTTCGCTGTCAGTCTGAATACCTCGATCAAGGCAGAAATGACAGTCTCCAATCACACGGTCCTCTACCGGTTCACCTTCCCATTGAATCAGACAGGGTTACCAAACAGCCCTTTGATACTAGTAGATCTTACCGACCTTCCCGACTCGATCACGAACGGAAGGGTTGAGGTTGACGAAAAGACTGGTAGATTGCAAGGAAATGGAACTTTTGCTCCTTCTTTCGGCATCGGGACCTACAATTTATCTTTCTGTGCCGATTTCTCAGGAGCTCCACTTCGAGATTCTGGAGTTTGGATGAACAATCGTGCTGGGTCATACCCGAAGAGTCTGAGGAGGGTAGCTGATGGAGTGAACTCGCCTCCTCTCCCGGCTGGCGCTTGGACGCAATTTAATGCCACAGAGGACAACGAAATTCTGGTACGGGTCGGCGTTTCCTTCATCAGCAATGAACAAGCTTGCAGTAATGCCGAGAAAGAGATTCCAGATTTCGACTTTGAAGATATCCTCAGCTCAGCGGAAGATGCGTGGCGTGACAAGCTCTCGGTCGTGGAAGTGGATGCGACTGGAGTGTCTGATGAACTACAAACGGTATTCTGGTCTGGAATGTACCGCTCGATGATCTCACCGCAAGACTACACAGGCGAGAACTATCTCTGGAACAGCACAGAGCCATATTATGACTCGTATTACTGCATCTGGGACTCATTTAGAAGCATACATCCTCTACTCACTTTGTTAGATCCTCAAAGCCAAACATTGATGGTCAGGAGTCTCATAGATATCTATCGACACGAAGGTATGATTGCTTGAATGCTAGCGTGACGGTATCGTTGCTCGTTTCTCCTAGGATTTAATGTTACAAGATTGAACTTCTGACACCACCATAGGAAAGCTGCCTGATTGCAGGATGAGCCTTTGTAAAGGCTTCACTCAGGGAGGCTCTAATGCAGATGTTGTTCTTACAGATTCTTATCTCAAGAATATAACTCTGAATGTTGATTGGAATACTGCCTATGAAGCATTAGTTTCCGACGCCGAAGGCAAGTAATTTCCAGACTCAAAGGTACTCTTGACTGATCTCGTGATAGTTGAGCCTCTAGACTGGTCAATCGAAGGCCGAGGCGGGCTGGGAAGCTGGAAAGAATATGGATACATTCCGACAGATGATTGGGATCCGTATGGCGTTGGACCATTTACCAGATCTATTTCAAGGACTGTGGAATATGCTTATGACGACTTCTGCATCGCGGAGATGGCGAAGGGACTTGGTAACACTCAAGATGCTGAGAAATACGTCGGACGATCGAGCAACTGGAAGAACATGCTCAAAGCCGACCAGACTTCCTTCGTCAGCAACACGACAAATCATCCCAACAGCACCGTTGACAGCGGCTTCGTCGGTTTCCTCCAACCTCGATATCTGAACCAAACCTGGGGATTCCAAGATCCCTCCCTTTGCTCCCCTCTCTACAACTTCACCTCCTGCTACCTGAATTCAGACGGTCACGAAACCTACGAAGGCAGTTCCTGGATGTACACCTTCTTCGTCCCTCAAGATATGGCGACCCTCGTCACCACCCTCGGCGGACCGGACACCTTCACAAAGCGTCTATCATATCTCCACACATCAGGTCTACTCTACATCGGCGACGAACAAGCATTCTTACCAGTCTTCCAATTCCATTATGCAGGTCGCCCAGGTCTATCCGCATACTTCTCACACTTCTACATCCCATCTCAATTCAACACCTCTACCAGTGGTCTCGCTGGCAACGATGATTCAGGCGCCATGGGCTCCTTCACAACACTAGCCATGATGGGACTCTGGCCTATCTCAGGCCAGAACGTGTACCTCATCACTCCTCCCTACTTTCCCGAAATCAGCGTGACGAACGGACAGACTGGAAACACAGCCACTGTCCGCAATGTGAACTTTGATCCCGATTACGAAGCGATCTATATCCAAAGCGCTACGTTAAACGGGGAGCCCTACGCGAAAAACTGGATTGCACATGATTTTTGGTTGAATGGTGGGGTGCTGGAATTGACGCTGGGGATGAATGAGAGTGATTGGGGGACAGGAGCTGCTGATTTGCCGCCGAGCTCTTCTACGAGCTTTTGAAAATTATCTACAGTATACAGAATGGGGGATTCAAGATAAGATCTTACATTAGGACAGTGTTGTGTCCTCCTCCAGACTATCGTGCGAGGTCTGCTAATCGTTCGGGATCTCTTTTCTTGGTTCTGTGTTTTTGGTGTCAGTGCGCTACGATACCATCATCCAAGTGGATATTTGTCATTCTTTGAGGCGTGGATTCGGACTTTGTTACAACATAACGTATTCGTGTTGTTATCATGAATCCACCGAATGCACCAAAATACACTTCCTTGTTGTTGCGGGAGGATCAGCCGTCCCGAGCCGCTCTGGTTCCATTAGAAATCATCACCAAAATAACCTTTTGCCGCATGTAATGACATTTCTATCCTTGTCTTCGTCTTCGTTCATGGCGTCCATTGAATCGCTTTTCCGCGCGCGTGTACTTACGAATACATACCTACCTAGGTACCGTTCGAATGCACGAACTGCCGGTTCAAGCATTTTCCCTGCGAGTTCCTCCATCCGATGCGATGCACCCAATCGTCATCTCCTCCCGTTTCCTCAGAGAAGAAACATTTTCTTTCTTTCGTCCTTTCCATCTGAGCCACATCAGACATGGCCGTTGAGCAGCGTGTTTCCTCTCTCGTCTCGACTTCGTGCCCATCTCAGCTCGAAAGATGGGGTCCCGTGTTCGATACGACGGAACGGAAGCGTTGCGACTGGTTATTTCGCAAGGGAACAACAGTCGTTTCGGGATCGACACATTTCACGTCCTAGCCACAAACTTTAAATCGCATCGCCGCCCCGCCAGAAACGGATGCTGCCCGCTGTGCTGGATTGAGAATGAGAGATGCAATACCACCTGCACCTTTTCTGTTACGTGTTTCGTCATACTTCCCAATGAAGCAATCGCGGGGTCTATGACCTGATACCTGCCCCGTGTGAGGGGTGCAGTGGCCAGGATATGATCGGAGCTGGTTCCTACATGACTCTTGCATATGATCTGCGTGCTGCTCATGTCTTTTGTTGTTGTTTTTTTTTTTTTTAAACGATGAGTTCGTTGGTGACAGTAGTTGCTGTACGGAGTATATCCTTACCCTGAGATCTCGACTTCTATCTATCGTGGAAGAATTAAGTGTTGAGGGGGTTGATTAATTCAGCATACCAGCACGAGTCAGTCATCATGGTAAACACAGGAAAACCCTCCCAAGGCTGCGGAACCTGTAGAGCTCGTCGAATAAAGGTACCTTTCCTCCCTCTTCCTCTCCAAGAACAATCTCTAACCTCTCAGTGCGACGAGCGCAAACCAACCTGTTTCCGCTGCCAGAAATCCAAACGAGAATGCACCGGCTACCGCGACACAGCCTTCGTCCGCATGAGATGGGACCGCAACTCCCGCTCCTCCTCCAAGAAACTGCCCTCTCCCACCTCCTCAACAGCCGATAACCGCGACCTCGTCCGCCGCACCTTCTCCAGCGCCCACTCCTCGGACTTCACCACGTCCCCCACGTCCCCGCTGCGCTTCCACATCTCAGTCTCGCCGTTCTCTGGTCTGGAGACCCCGATAGAAGAGCAGGTCAAGTGTATTTTCCGCCGCAACTTCGTGCTGGAGCCGTGTGAGGGGAACTCGAGGTCGTTTATGAAATTCACGGTCCCGGTTCTGGAGCACGAGAAGAGTCTCAGTGGGAAGGGGAAGGGGAGTAAGTTGGGGACGGCGGTGATGGCGGCGGGGTTGGCGTTGATGGGAAATCGACCCGCGAGTAGGCATTTGATGCCCAAGGCGATGAAGTGCTATAGTAGGGCGTTGAAGGAGATTAATGAGGCGTTGTTGGTGGAGAAGGAGGCCGTGGAGGATGATACTTTGGCGGCTGTTATTGTGTTAGGGTTATTTGAGGTGCGTTTTTTCTTTCTTACTTCATCTCTTGAAATCTAGGATCTTAGCGGGATCTTGATGAGAGAGATTTAGATGCTGACAGATGGAGTGTAGGTCCTTACAGGCACATCAGGACAACCAAGCGGATGGATTTCTCACGCAGACGGAGCCGCAATTCTAGTTAAGATGCGAGATGAGAAGAAAGCACCCCTCACAGACTTAGGACGGGTTCTCCACATCATGGCACGCTCACAATTGGTAAGTCTACTTCCCTCTCCCAAATAACCTCACTAACGACTCGATCAGGTAGTCAACTGCCTCGTCTCCTGCTCCCCTCCCATCCCCGGCGTAACATGGTGGATGCGCTTCGGCACCAAAGACAACCTCCCCGCCATCTGCGCCCGCCTAAACCTCGAAGTAGCCACCCTACACGCAAAATGCAACTCCGTCCTAACCAGCGCCTCTAAAACACTTACCTCGGACCTAGAATCCGTGCTCGAGGTCCTCAAGCTCGCAAAGGCGCTCGATGCCGAGTTTAAGGAGTGGGAAGCGAGTTTGCCCAGGAGTTGGAGGTACGGTATCGTGGCGTGGATCGACGAGGATGAGTGCGATGATGCGGATCTGGAGGACATGAAAGCTTTTCCCGGAAGAACGGATGAGTATGTCGATATCAGCATCGCGACAGCGTTCAACATGATGCGTGCGTCCCGGATGATGCTGTGCGGGGATATCGTCCGAGCTTCAGCTTGGCTGTGTCCTACGTACCAGGATTACCGCACGATGCCTGAGTTCGGGGCAGCGGTTAGGACGTCCAAGGATCTGATTGAGGATATTCTGGCGAGTGTACCGTATTTTCTGGGTGGTGGTCCGGGGAATCCGCCGCTGGCGGAGAGGCCGCAGAGTGGGAAGGCGAGTTTGGTGGGCACGGCTGCGTTGGGGTTGTTTATTACGTGGCCGCTGATGGTGTGTAAAATGAGCGATTATGCGACGGAGAGGCAGAGGAAGTGGGCGGAGGGACGGTTGAGGTTTATTGCGAACGATTTGTGGATTGGACAGGCGAGGTTGTTTTCTAAAGTGAGTTTTCTCCTCCGAAAGATGGGTTGGTAATTTCGGGGTGAGAGGTGACTAATGGATAAACAGATAAATGCTAAATTACCTTCGATGTTTATTGCTAGGGACGAGTTTACGCAGGTTGATGGAGTTAAAATGGCGAAACAGAAGTGTATGGAGTTAGCGATGGCGGCGTCACCGTATGTCAAGGGGGCGGAAATGGAGGCTATGATTGCGGGTTTACTTGGGTGTAAGTAGCTTTATTGTAACGAATATGACGAGACCATGACTTGACTATGCTGCTAATGTCTTTAAGTACAAGAATGACCAAGATCAGGTGAGACTGCCATACTTACCTAGGTGAAGCTAGTTTTGACAGCTTGAAAACAGATCATGATGCAGTATTTAATGATTTAGTTAAGTAATACCTAATGAGTACATGGTACTCATACCAGCATCTCATCTCATGGCTATTGTTAATACATTACCATAGACATTAGAATTTCAAAATGCAACCCCGCAACCAAAAATGCCATCCAAAAACCCACCCATGCAAATGCAAACCCACCATCACCTCCTAGTACTAAATACAATAAATAACCACCCTAATAAGTAACCTTCACAGTATGACTCCCACTCGCCCCACTAATCGTCACCGTCTCCGCAGTCTCATTATACGCCCCCTCACTCAACGTCAACGCCTCCCCATCAACCACCACACTGGGCGCCGACGACGCAGGCAACACCAACACGCCCTGCGTTCCCCCCGGCGCTCCCCACGCCACCGTATACCCACCATCCGTCGTCGTCCAACTCGCCGAAAACTTGCCCATGGGCGTCGTAAACCCCGCTTCCGCATGCGTCAGGTCGCCAAACTGCGGACTGAGATTCCACTCACTGCCTCCCGGCGCCGTAACCGTCAGCCCGACGATATAGCTCGTCAGCGCATCCGTGGGCCCCGTGCCCCAGCCGTGCGCGTGCGAGGTGTAGGAGTAGTCGTTGTCATAGCCGGCGGTTGCTCTGTAGCCGAAACTGCCGTCGGCGAGGTAGCCTTCGATGCAGGTCGATTCCGTGCCGTAGGGGTTGTTGATGTACCAGCCCCAAGCGCGACGGATCAGGTCGAGGGCACGGGTGGCTTGGCGGGCGGCGAGGTGGCCTTTGATCTCGAAGGATTGCACGAAGCCGACGAGGTTGTCGGGGAGCTCGGGGGCGACGGCGCCGATGGCGATCCAGTTCTTGGTTAGGGATTGGGAGATGGATTGTACGTATTGGGGGAGGGCGCCGTTGAAGACGAGGGCCATGCTGTTGCCGTCTTCAGGGTAGAGTTCTATTTCCGTGTCGTCGTTTTTGAAGGCGCTGTTTGGGGTTAGTGATTTGAGAGAGACTTGTGAATGGAGAGAGGGACTTACCCTGCTGAGGCTTGGTAGTTGTTGGCGTTGACGGCTGCTTTCAACGTTGCTGCCAAAGAGGACCACGAAGATGACGAGCTGGAGTCTCCTGCCCACGTCGCAAGTTGACTTCCTGAAGTGAGGACTTTGTACAGAAGCATGTTCGCCTCCGTATTATGGCCTCCTTGGGTAAGTCGACCCCAGTCATTGGTTCCTGTCACATCGAGCATGCCGGTACTATCAATTTTCGCAGTGATGAATCCCATGGCGCTCTTGTACTTAGGATACATGGTGCTTAGCCAAGATTGATCGTTGGTCCAGAGGAAGTAATCATATGTCCCGATCATTGTAGCCATGTGGTACGTGTCAGAGCCATAGATATTGATTCCTGGACCTGCGAAAGGGAGCTCTCCCGTACTTTGCTAGGAAGGTATCAGTAGCTGTATTTTCTCATCACGTGAAAACCACCTACTTGATCATTGTACAAAACCACCAAAGTATTCGAAACACCTTCCCAATCGCCTGTTGACACGAGAATGCTAGGTACCGCAATTCCAAGATCTCCTGGCCAAACCGTCCTGTCTCTCTTGGATCCATCAACGTAAATGGTAGCTCCGGTGCTACCAAGGTCTAAATCCTGATCGTTCATCCAGCCACCGCCAAGAATTGGGAACGCTCGTCCTGTTGCGGGGGGAATAGCATTCGTTTGCAGGGTATAAGCACCCGAGTACCAGATTCGATTCAACAAAGTATCACTGCAGGAGAAATATCCCTGGTAAGCACGCAAATTTGACCACGTTGGCTGGTAAGCGATCTCGACCGTGATATCCTGGATGTTGATGGCGAAAGTCTGATTGGCTTCACTTCCGCTAGTTGTCTCAGAGAATAGAGTCAGGTATCTGAATCCTCCACGAAGTCTGGGAAGAGGCATCGTGTAGTTCCCTTCCGCTGTGGCGGTGACGTTGGCGAGGAGATATCCATCCGGTCTGAAGGATCCATTCGAGCTGTCTGACCATTCTCCAGTCCAGTTCTTCGCTTCTGTGAATGCTAGACCTAGATTCCCGGTTCCTGTGGCGCCGTAGGTGACGGTGACGATGCCAGCGACTTCTTTCCCGAAATCAAATATCAATTGGGTTCCATTCCCCTTCAATGTTGCCGTCCCGGGATAGTTCCCAATGACTTCCCCATTTGCGGAAAGAATGCTTGTAGGAGATACAGTCCTGCTAGTCGGTGAATAGTTGTATTCGTCCCAAGGTCCAGGGAATGCTGCTGAAGTGGGTCCATCGCATGTAGTGTCTCGCCAACATCCGGCTGCAAGAGCTACAGATCTCTGCGAGACCAGGGCCCCGAGGGTGACGAGGCCGGCAAGAGTAAACATTACCGCAACTACAATCCACCGTTTAGTCGAACAGAACTCTCTCGTATAGTACTTCATCTCGAGCAGCAGCAACAGAAAAAAGAATCATGATGAAACAGGAGGAGCGGGTCCATGACGCCAACTTACCTTATGTCTTTCTTCTATACTATACGATACTATACTACTATGCAATAAACATCACGATGAAGGAGTGATTCGAAAGAGAGTGAAGGGTGACGTGAACGCCTGACGATAAGGAGTGAAGAGAGAACAGGAACAGAGACACTCGTTCTTCTCTCAGAGGACAAGGTCGACGCCCTGACCCTTTTATGTCCGTTGACTTCGCAACTAAGATTGCACTGGACTAGCTACAGCCTCCCCCTTGGACCAGTCAGATGACGTTGGTTCGTCTCCCGTTTCCCGTTAAGGTAGAGTTTCTCCCCAGCTGCAGACATGCTGCATGTTGGCTCCCTCAAGCGCCATCAGACGACAAGATCAGGAAGGTCTCTAAGAACAATGAAAGAAAGACTTTGTCAGGCCGTGTGATACTCTTCTCAACGTGTCTTTGTTTGCTATCCAGCTCCAGCTCCATCTCGAGGTGACTTGAAAGGGGGGCATGTCGAGTCGCGTTTTCCGTCGCGTGAGGTGCGAATGGGTGCAACCGGTATATTTGGGACCGAGATCGTCCACCATCGCCTCTGCCCTTGTGCGAGGATCCTGGGCCAGTGCCACACCGGTTTGGGCGTCTACTTGGCGCAAACAAGGCGCTTTAAGCTTAACAGCTCAGAGTAATGTACGCCAAGTTACGAGAGGGGCGAACCGGGTGTGGCGGCGCAGCAGGTTTTGGGTGCGGGGCGAGGTCTTCCTGTAGTTGATAGGTACAGTCGACTCGGTTGCAATAGCCCGATGTCCAAGGTTTTCTCGTACTTGCAACTTTGTAATTTTCGTGAGCAACCAACAAAGTAATTTACTGTGCCTTTGCCAGTACGTACTGTACAAATTTGAAGCCAGGGTGCAGCTGGTGTTGGTTTGTTTGTGGTCAACGGTGAAGAGCAGTTGCCCTGGTCATGAGAGCGTGAAGGGGTCAGGGATGCGAAGCTCCCCTCCTTTTCCCCACAGCGAGCCGAGTCAGTGTAGGCGAGCCAACCGATCCCGTCTTTAATGTCGGAAACCAACAATCCAATATTGCAGCAAATAATAAGCATCCAGACCCGGATATGATGCCTCGGTGATGTCGGTCTGCAGGACTCAGAACAATAAATCTGGGATGAGTGCGCAGCACGAGAGGAGCGAACATCCCTGGACGAGCCTGCTTAGGAAAGCCCGAAATAGCTGATCGGCATTTCTCAATAGTCCATTTTGCTTAGTTGGTGGTCCGCGCTCTTCCCCAGATTTGCGACCCTGATGATCTGATTCGCAAGTGCGTCTCGTCTTGCTGACGACGAGATCGCATCTTGAAATGAAGAAGACATGAACATGACGTGTGCCTTGTCTTCTCCTTGGTGAATGCATGGTGCATGCATGCGAAAGCTGTCGAGCCCAGTCGGCCCTTCCTGCCAAGAAAATGATCAATGCGTTTGTTGTTATTCACAGGACGTTATGGTTTTCCTGGCAAGGGTATCCAAGTAGGAAGGTCGCCTCAGGGGGGCAAACCTCACTCGTCACAAGCTTTGAAGAAGACTGTTTCCCCACTCGATCATCTGCTGTCAAGTCCGGTAGCGATGTACCCCGCCAAGTTTCAATTAATTTATTGAGCCCTTTCCGTGTGATGACTATCCATTCAATTTCACACACTCCGGAAACAGACGATGGTGTCATTAAACTCTTGGTGAAGACGCAATGAAATCTCCGAGTTTGTACAGCACAATTGTGTAATCTGGGGAAGCGCCCGTTCCCGCGCTGCTACCCATGGTACTGTACGCCTGTTGGCGTGTCAATTTCCCACAGAATCCACGGTAATACGATGAGGTAAGATGCGTTGCGTGACTACGGGAGATGGTCGAGCATCTGCCAGTCATTGTAAGAAATTGAGATTAGCTGGTGTCGAATTTCTCAGCAGACTGAGGCACCCTGGAGGAGTGCTCATAGTAGAAGGTGTCAGCTAAACGATGATGCGAGTGCGTTGGACGTCTTGTTGGTCTCCAGGCTGCCGGGAATTGCCCATCTACTCCCCTTGTTTGTTAATATGTCTCTAAAGCTTGGCGTGGAGCGGTTGGGTTCGTCTTTGCGTGGTTCGGATTTGCATTTACCCATATATTAATGATTGTCGTGACCCCAGTATAACGATTGCCGAGAAGTATAACGATTGCCGAGACCCTGAAATTCCAAAGTCTCGAAGAACTAGAACTGGAGGGGAATGTCACAAGAATGCTTGCATACAAAGCGGGAAAATCCCATCAGTTTAGGTAAATGGAGGAAGGAGAAGGATCTGCATGATGAACGTAGCCTCGCATCACGTCGTGACTTGAACAATACGGTCCTTTCCATCGATCAATCAAAGCTGGACCTTGTGTTGCAAGTAAGTGACATAAATAAATTTGGGATTGAATTTGCGTGTTGCTGATGGAAGAGTGTAGGGTGAAGCGATTTTCCTGAACACGAGGCATTGGGGTATTGCCCAACACTAAAGGCTCAAGCAAGTCTCAGCTTTTGACCCCTCGTTCAAGCTTCGAGACCTGGCCAGGCCACGAAGCTCTGAGATATTATCTTGTGGTTCTGAGAAGATCCAGGCGATCCAAATTGTTGGATGGCAAGACACTAGCACTTTTCATCATCGTAGCGTTCCTTCAGTCTGGAGTATATGAATGAGCTTCATCTGCAGCATTGATCTTTGTCCTCAAACCGGTAGATACAGCAAGTCTCACTTACAGCTGCGCCACTGCCGTGCCATGCGAATCTTCCACCGAGATCGCTTCCAAGAAGGACCACTTGCCATACCAGTTCCAAACACAGTCTTAATCGAGATGTATTACTCCTATTCAAAGCAATTCCTCCATCTGATGTCGGACATCTCACACTGGTGAAATGTTGCAAGAAGCCAAAATATCAAAAAGCACAACGGACTTGGCTTTGGCAGGAAATAAAGAAACTGCGATGCAGAAAACAGACAATGAGATGTTCGTGATATTGACATTCCAAGATTGCAGATAGTGAAAAGGACGCCAAGGTATCAGATCAAGTGTGAGCAGAATGCCTAACCAGCACAATGAAAGAAAAACTTTGAATTGGTTAAAATTGCAAAGCAAGCTGAGACTACTCCGACTGCGACTACAGTTGAAGCGAAGCTTGCGGTGATCTCCTCTGGGTTTGTAAACATGCCAATCATTTCAAATGTTCGTGAAATTGCGAAACATTGGCTGCGAGGATTGGTCTGCATTCAAGATCATGAAAGCAATACGTGGGTATGATTTGGGATTGCGGATAGGTATTGCATGAAAATGGCGTAACGTTACAGAACTTCTGCATATGATTGAGCAAAGACGATGAGAGATTGGCAAGGAAGAAGAGATCCGAAGTTCAAACTGACTTCGAGCTAGTGAGACGCTAGTCTCAAAGTATCTATCACGTGGGCGGTCAAGCTCTAACAGAGCTTTCTCCCTCGAACACACCAGATCCCATCCCATGTTAGCCGTGAAAACCCCACTCTAGATGTCAGAAGCAGAGGTTGAGAGGTTAGTCATGAACCTGCAAGTCTTCCAGAATGTGTGAAGACCAGTTCACAATATCTTGTTGTCTAAACGGGGTTCGGAGCTGTTCTCCAGACTTGACCCCGCCATTAGACAACTGAAAGGTAAGCAAGATGGTCAACGCGTATAATTTGGTGGATTCGAGTAAGTGTTCTCAATTCACACTCCTTTCAATTGCATTGATTCGATGTGGTTCTCAAAAGAAACAGTTCTCTCTCTTCTAGCAGGTTCAAAAGGACTTGCACAGTCATACCTCTCTCCAAGCTGTGCTGGCTATATCGCCAGCAATGTACAATTATCCAACAGTGGCATGTCTGCCAACCTTTCACTGGTTGGATCATGCAATGTCTTTGGAACTGACCTGCAGAATTTGCGAATGACGGTGCATTACGAAACAGGTATGTAGAATCAATGACAAGAAGATGGACGCTTCTAACATATTTGCAGAAAACAGGGTTCATGTTAAAATTTACGACTCCGAGCTTCAAGTCTACCAAGTCCCCGAATCCGTTCTACCGCGTCCCAATGGCACCGTCAACGCTGCTGACTCGGTCCTCGAAGTTGTGATTGTCGAATATCCCTTCTCGTTTGCCGTGCGAAGAAGGGACCTTTCCGAGACGATATTCAATACCAGTGGCTCGAGCCTCATATTCGAAAACCAATACCTGCGTCTGCGAACAAACCTTCCACAGAATCCTGTCCTATACGGCTTGGGCGAACATACCGATCCTTTGATGCTTAACACAACGAATTACACAAGAACACTGTGGTCAAGAGATGCTGGCGGAGTTCCTCCTGGAACAAATCTATACGGAAACCACCCTGTTTATTTTGAGAATCGTCCAGCAAGCAACTCGAGTCATGGAGTCGCATTTATCAACAGCAACGGGATGGATATCAAGATCAATAACACCAAGGAGGATGGACAATATCTGGAGTTCAATACTGTTGGAGGAATAGTGGATCTATACTTCATGGCTGGTCCAGGACCGATTGATGTTGCCAAGCAATATAGTGAGGTGACGGGAAAGCCAGCAATGATGCCATACTGGGGATTCGGTTTCCATGACTGCAGATTTGGCTTTGCCAACGTGTCGGAGGTTGCTGCAACAGTAGCCAACTATTCTGCTGCTAATATCCCTCTGGAAACAATTTGGACAGATATTGTTAGTTCTCGGGATTTGGTGGATATCATCGTCTTATTAATAGTTTGTAGGATTACATGGATCATTACAAAATCTTCACAACTGATCCAGAGAACTTCCCGCTTGCCGAGATAAGGGACCTTGTGAACGACCTTCATAACCGTGATCAACGTTATATTTTAATGGTAGATCCAGGTGCGTATCTTCTTAGCAAGTGGTTCTGAAGCTAACGGAATCCAGCTGTTGCATACCAGGTATGACACCCGCAGGCGGTTTTTATCTATCAGAAGGCTCTGAGTGAGAATGGAGGCTTACCAACTTCAAGGACTATAAAGCTTTCAATGATGGAGCTGCCTTGGATGTTTTCTTGAAGAATTTCAATGGCTCCTGGTACAATGGAGTCGTGTGGCCAGGTGTAACAGTTTTCCCAGACTGGTTTCATACCAACATGCAAGCTTTCTGGAACGGCGAATTCAACACTTTCTTCAATGAGTCTACAGGGATAGATATAGATGGGCTTTGGATTGATATGAACGAAGCTGCGAATTTCTGCCTTTGGCCCTGCAATGATCCTCGCGGCTTTGCTAATGCGCCCAGCTCGATCGTTTACCCACCTCCTCGAAATCAGAGTGGACCTAATTCCCCAGTATCAGTCCCAGGCTCTATGCTGGGTCTACCAGGACGAGATCTTATTGATCCGCCATATATGATCAACAACGCTGCTGGGTCTCTCAGCAACCACACTATCTTCACCGACTTGATCCATGCAAATGGGGTTGCCGAATATGACACCCATAATCTGTACTTCTTTTGTCTCACTTCAGTCCGAACTTGACTAACATATCCATAGTTATGGGACGATGATGAGCGCCGCTTCCCGTGTTGCGATGCTTTCCCGTCGACCCACAAAACGTCCTCTCATCGTTACTAGAAGCACATTCATCGGCGCTGGAACTCATGTCGCTCACTGGCTCGGTGACAACATCTCCAACTGGGATGAATATATTCAGTCGATCCGGCACATGCTGCAATTCGCATCTATCTTTCAAGTCCCCATGGTAGGAGCCGATGTTTGTGGATTCATTGACAACACCACGGAAACACTATGCGCTCGATGGGCTACCCTAGGAGCTTTCTACACATTTTTTAGGAACCACAACGGAGACCCGCCGAACATACCTCAGGAATTCTACCGGTGGCCTTTAGTTGCCGATGCGGCTAGGAATGCGATTGCCACGCGATATAAGCTGCTGGATTATATCTACACTGCATTTCACAAGCAGACAGTGGATGGGACACCGGTCCTAACTCCGATGTGGTTTGTGCTGTCTATCCTCGAACTCTGCTCCCTGTTTACTTACTTATGAAATAGGTTCAAATATCCCCAAGATCCCATCACCTTTCCCATTCAAGACCAGTTCTTCTATGGTCCTTCCCTACTTATCTCCCCCGTCACTGCCGAGAACAGCACCAACGTAACAATTTACCTCCCTCACTCTCAGTTCTACGACTTTCACACGTTGCTGCCAGTCGACAGAGAATCATCAGGCCAACACATGACGTTGACAAATATCAACTACACCAAAATTCCCGTCCACATCCTTGGAGGCTCTATCATCCCGATGCGAGTAAGTGGAGCGAATACCACAACAGCATTACGAAAACTAGGCTTCGAGATCCTTATTGCTCCAGATGAACAAGGAAGGGCACGTGGACAGCTCTATCTTGATGATGGAGAGAGTCTTGTTCAAGAGGCAGTTTCTGAGATTATGTTTTCGTGGGATGGACGCAGCAGAAAATTGGTGATGGACGGAACGTTCGAGTATAATGTGGGAAATGTCAAGATCCTATCTTTGACTGTGCTTGATCCTGAGGGCAAGCCGCTGAGCTATGATCTGGATATTCCGCTGACAGGTCCCGCGACAGTGGACATTGAGATGCGCAAGTCGAAGGAGCTAAAGTAGTGAGATGAGAATGGCTCCCGCGTCAGGCCCTTCGGTGACAACTCAAAGCTTGGCGAAGTAAGCGTTAAATCTTCGAACTATTTGAATAGTAGCTTCGTTTCTATCATTTCTTGACCGCCAGGCAATGATGACTATTGCGACTGTCGCGCCAAGTTGATCTTCCAGTTCACAATTATCTCGAACTCTTGTATATACAATCAGAACATCTCATCTGAGACCAAGAAAATGTACATAAGTATGCCGCGGCTAAACAGGCAACATGTAACCAATTTGAATGGGGAACCTGGAATGTCACACAAGTCAGACTACACGTGACTGCGATTGTCAGCTCGCCTCAACCCCGCCTTCTCTCCACGAACCCAACTTCACAACAGCTGAACGCTTCCGCTGACACCCCATCAGCGCTCACCCTGCAAGCCTTTTTAAGGTTAATCGCACATCAACCGTGCATTACCGTCGTACCGCAGACAGACAAGGTCTGACCGATGCGAATGGGAGCTTGCAATTTTCACATCTCTGCACGGCGAGACACCCTCTTCTAATAATCATGTTTCTGTCTTTCCAGATCGATTGCCAGCTTATCATATGTCTCGCATAGTCTGATGATTGAAGAAGTTTCACGGACCACCGGTAGAACCCGGCAGAAGTTGTCCACATCATGTGGGCGTAGATCTCGCCTTATGGTGGTCCCATGAATGTCCTGCCTTACAGCTGCTCGGTGAACAAGCCATGCTTGCCTAATCGAGTATACAGCGTCGTATCGCGGCACGTGCATTGTGCTAAATCGACGTTGTGTTTGGTTGTAAGCTGCTCGCTCACCGTTGTGTGTTGTCTCTAGCCTTTTGAGTCGTGAAGTATCATGTGGCTTGCAGATGTGGCTTTCCAGCTGAGCTTCTTGTTATCCTTGCGATCAACAATGCGTCCGCCTATCACGGAAAATGACATTCAATATTGATTTTGCGGTCAAGATCTGTTTAGTTCCGCAAAGAGGGCTGATGGCTTGACAACGGCAATGAGACGGGTGGTCAGCGTGTGGTTGGAAGTCCGGCTGCTGCTCCGCTATTCAAGGCATGATATTCCCCGGTTTCTGCGAGCCCCTCCGTTGAAATTTTTTACTCGATCGCTATCATCTTGACAGAGGTTGTTGTTGCTTGCCACAAGTGATCAAAGGAATATCATTTGTGATGCTGCTCCAGTATCTGACGATATGGCTTGCCATATTCGTTCAATTGTCTATACAATGGTTTCCAAAAACAAGCTCTACTACCCCGCCACTTCCAATCTGGAGTCCGACTTATGGACCTCACCCAGAAAGCACTGATTGCGAAGAGTCAACAACGCCGATTCATGAACATTCTACCCCAAGCAGCCAAGCGTCATCGTTCGGAACTCCTTCATCGGGAACGAAGAGCTCATTTGTTACTCCTTCGACGAGCACTTCGACTTACCACGAATCACACTCCAGCCTGCTGAGCTCGAAGTCTTATTGGAGCTCTCAACCTCCGAGCACACACGTGACGACAATCGAAACCACAGTCACCACGGAGTGTACTGAGTCGACAGAGTCAGTCTCTACAACAAGCAGCTTCTCATCTGTTACTATTCCACCTCACTCAACTTCCTCGACCACTGAATGTACGGAATCCACGCTATCCAGTACATCCAGCACGCTTTCGTCGGTCACGACAACTACCTACCCATACTCTCAGTCTTCGCCAACGAGCTCTAAACTATACAGCTCTCAGTCGAGCCTGTCGTCTATACCATCTTCAACTCCTCCTAGTTCGGTATCTTCGAGCTCCTGGAGCTCTCGGACTTACAGCTCTCCGAGTTCATCGTATCCAATTTCCTCGACTCCGAGCAGCAGTCCAACTTCATCGAATACCTGGAGCTCTATCTCTACACCATCGACGTCGTCCATTCCTGTATCATCATGTCTTCCGACATCCGTCATAGTCTACAAGACAATTTATATCACGGCCCAATTCACGAGCCTAGTCACCACCACCCAGTCAATATATGTTGGTCCGCCGTCCCTTGTCGTCGTTACGAGCACGATCTCAGGTCTCACTTATACCACCTCGGTCACTGAGTACCAAACATTGGTATCCACCAAAACGCTGCCGGGATCAATCAGCACAACAACTTTACCTCCTTCATTTGTCTGTCAAGCTGGAACAACTTATGTCACTAATTTCAATTATGGAAATTTCACTACGACGATCCAAGATTGTAGCAAGACTAGACACACGTCTAGATCTTGTGTCTGCCCAAGTTTCTGTCCTTACTCGCCAATGACCAGTTGTGCTTTGTCTACAATCACATTTACAACGACGGATATCGTGATATTTCCACCTACAACAATCACCCGATCCTTTTCGACAAGCTGTCCGACGCCCACGACATCTTCTTGTGTAGCTACCAGTACAATTATTCCATCGAGTTGCCCGAGTCACACGGTCTCTTCTTGCATAGCTACGAGTACATTTATTCCCTCGAGCTGTCCAACTTATTCTCCGACATCATGTATCCCAACATCAACTGTTATCCCAACGACATGCCCGAGCTGTGTTCCCGTGACGGTGTCAAGAAGTTGTTCGTTATCATCGGTTTCTACTTCCTGCGCCAGCTGTACGCCAATCACAATCTATGCCTCTACCTGCTCTCCAATCACCTACTCACCTTCAACATCTTCGTCTTGCAAACCAATCACAGTCACTACCAGCAATCCAGCATCTACTTGTTCCGGAACAACGATATATGCCTCCACCTGCTCTCCAATCACTTTTTCACCTTCGGCATCTTCGTCTTGCAAACCAATCACGGTCACTACAAGCAACACGGGATCCACTTGCTCCGTAAAAACAATCTACGCGAGCTCATGCTCTCCTACGTTGTCGTCCTCTTCGACTCAATCCTCGTGCTCGGCGACAACAGTCTACGCTAGCTCCTGTTCTCCCACTTCTTCACTAAGCTCACTACAATCAACTTGCTCCCCAACCACAGTCTACGCCAGTTCTTGCTCTCCCACCTCCTCACTCTCATCAAATTCAATCTCTCAATCCTCAACATGCAACGCCATAACCTCCACCGTCACCCAAACCCAAAACTGCACCTCAACGCTCTCATCAACAAGCTCCCTCTCAACCTGCATCCCCGTCACAATTACAGTATCCACCTCAACGAATCCCGGCTCCCGGACCTCCTCGAGCTCGGGCTCAACCACGTTCATACGCCCTTCAGAAACACAGTCCTGTCCGCCTGGCTGTATTACAAAATGCGACAAACAACGCGACTACCTAATACTATTCATTCTCTTCCTGATTCTGTTCATCATCTTCTTCCTATTGTTCCTAGGAACGGCGCTTTACCATTGGAGATTCAGACACAGAGTAAGATGCCGTGTTTGCGAGTTGACGGCTGATGTTTGTACATGTGCTGCGGGCCCAACGTTGGGTGCTGCAAGCGCGGCTGCTGGGGCTGGAGCTGCAATGTCTCAGGGTGGGCAACAGGCGGCTGCTTCGGGTGGAGACGGTGGTGGTGGTGGAGGAGGAGGAGGAGGATCGTATGGTAATCCTGGGACTAGTTGAGAGTAAGGAATAGGAGAAGACGGAGGAGGGGAAGTAATGAGGAATACCCTGTTGTTTCACTTCGTGATGTTAATGATACCATGATATCGAGACTCGTAATGTAATCGAGCTCTATTATAGTAATTGATAATGAAATTACGATTGCAGATCTTACCAAGGATTCATCGATTTTGTTCTTTGCATTGATACCAGAGTCAAGTGGAAGAAGAGATTAAGTTTTGAGCTGTACGGGATTGATACTGGACTGGTGTAGGCGAGATTGCTCACTAGCTCAGGGGCAATGGCTAACTTTCAGCGCATAGCTACAGCCCTAAGCTGCCATAAACCACTTTCTCAGGCGAAACCCAAGTGCGCTAGAATGTAGCGCACCTCGCAAATGCCCTGAATCCACTATATTTTGGGCCTAAGGACTTTGCTTAGGGCGCCGTACAGCCTAGAAAAGTATGTTTGAAGAGCAGCTTAGGGGGGAAAGAGCCTGGGATAAGAAGTTTGAATTCAAATCATGAATTATAAATACTAGTTACCCGATTTCACATTACATTACAGCCTTTCCTACGAGTAAGCTTCCAGAAACATAATCGGCGAAGCGATGCGTCAAGCCATTGGGCATCTGCTGCCCAGCCTTTTCTGTGGCTGTCGATTCGGCCTTGCCCCACCTGAGCATAATCCACGTCCAGAAACCACAATCGTGATCGCACTTCCTCTTTCCACCACGGGATAGCGTTTCTTGGAAACATGTTGGGGCGGAAGCGCGACTTTTTCAAGCGCTTTGCGCAGGAACGTTTTGCTGCGCAACTCTCCTCTAAAGATCGCTCTCGCAAGGCTCCGCAACCAGAGTCAGCCGCACCTACTTCTGAAAATGAGGAATCATACTTGGCGCCTGAAAGTCCAACGACCCATGTCGATGTAAGTGCAAAGCCAATATGCTCGCGGATACTTCTTATTCTGTATGAATAGGCAACATCTCTGAGTTCTAAAGAGATTCCAAGACCAGTCTATGATGCAGGAGAAACGATTGCTCCCATCGAATCCAATTCGGCTGAACTCGAAGCGTCACAACAAAAGTCTGAAATCGTGGTCGACGATGACTCAAACGACGAGTCTGGTGCAGAGACAGCAGCTTTTGGAATATATAAAGGCAAAGGCAGGGCTGAGGAAGAGTTAGAGTCAGTACATGCCTCACAAGACAGCGTTTACTGATAGCTGACGAGTGGCAACAGATTGCGACTGATGACCAAGTGGTAGAAGGCACCGGTTCTGAAGAGGTAGAGTCAAAAAATCAAGAAAAGGCCAAAACGCCTGTGACCAGCTTTTGGGACTTGGCCTACGAACAACTTTCAAAGGTCGACAAGAGTCGAGCAATCCTTGAAGATCACGACATCATTGTGGAGCGTGTGAAACAGCTCGGGGATGGAAACATTGCCCTGGACGAGGCGAATCCCGTTACCGATGAGAAGTATGGAGAAACTAAACCTGAAGCCAGGCAGATAACCTTTGTCGGCAAGGAGGCCGCAATGAAAGCCTTTGTATCCGACAGAATGAAGCAAATGGAGACCAAGGAATGGGTCGTTCGATGGAAAGGAAAAGAAGTGTTCAATGTCAGAAGAAGCATCCACCAGGTCGTCAAAATCGTACAGAAGTTCTCTGGGCTTGCGAGTCAAGCGGCAAGTCTTGACCTCCTTCACGCTGGCTTGGCTTGGGCTGGTGTCTGTTGTGTATTGCCAGTACGTATTCCAGACATCATATCATTACGAAGACTCATACTTCCAGCTCATAATTTCTGATACCGAGGAACGCCAAAAGGCCATAGACGGCGTCTCATCTGTTGCTCAAGTTACTGCACGATATATGATGGTTGAGCAGGACTACTTTCAGAAGAACCTGGGACAGAACAAAGATTTTGAAGAAGTTATGATTAGTCGTTACAAGGAGATCGTCAAGTTTTACGCCAAGGCAGCACGCTATTTTGCTCGGAAAACTCTTGCTAGATGGTTGCTTAACGTTGTCAAAGCCGACGATTGGACGAGTGCTTTGAAAAGCATCACCAGCGCCGACGAAGAGTGTCGCAAATTCGCAAACAATCAATATCTCTCGGTAATTCTGCACGGCCAAGCGGAGACCATCCGGATCCTACAGAGCATACAGTCCGTCGTAGCGGAGCAACATCTCGCTGACATGTTGAGATGGATATCTAAAATCGACATAGGTGCACAACACGATTTCGTGAGGGATAAGTTGCAGGAAAAGTACTTTGGTTGAGGAAAGTGGCTGTTAACGCATACGAGTTTCACTTCTTGGATATCCACACCAAGTGTACATTTCTGGCTTCGTGGAGCTGTCGGAACCGGAAAGAGCTCTCGTGTGGATCATTATCGAACATCTTCGAAGACAGCAAGAAGACGTAGTCTTTTTCTACTGCAATGCCACCTTGCAAAGTCCCCAGGCAGAACATAAACCTACAATCGCAATTCTAAGAGTCCTGGCCAAACAACTCTCTGTGTCATCCGATAGGAAATGCATCGCGGAAGAAGTCACGATCCAATACGAGAAGCTAAACAATCCAGGCCCAACGGGCTCCCAGCTTGGAGACTCGGAAGTTTCAAAACTCCTCATAAGTTTGATCGATAGTCGCAGCAAAATCATCGTACTCGTTGACGCCTTGGACGAATGCCCCGAGTACATTAAACTTCTTGTTCTCCTCCGACACCTATCTCAAAAAACGGCCAAACTCAAATTCTTCTTCTCTAGTCAGCTGGTCGTGCCAGTCAACGAGTACTTTCCTACCATCCGAACGATCACCATCAATCCAGAAGGTGATTTGCCCAGTCCCAACAAGGATGACATAGAGTTCTTCGTTGCGGAAGAGGTGAGGAAATTTGCAGAAGATCGACCTGATGTCCTGACGGAAGACATGTGCAAAGACATCATCAAAACTCTTCCTGAAAAAGCAGGAGCAATGTGAGTAAAGATTGTATCTGAATGATCTTCTGCTTACGATTATAGGTTCAAACTAGCCGAGCTATCTCTGAAGTATATTTTGGATTCGCAAGCCCAGGAAACGAGGACCAAGATCAAAGGCCACCTTGAACTTATCAAGAACAGGCATACCCATAGTGTCTTTGGATCTTTGATACGGGTATACGAAGACCTTTTCAACAAACACCTACCTTCAGACGAAGCCAAACGATCAGATGCAATAGTGACTGCTGACAAGATACTATCCTGGATCTTTGTCTCACTCCGTCCCCTGCGTCGAGATGAAGCTATACTACTTGCAGATGATCACTTTGACCCTGAAGGAGCTTCAGGAGGTATTGATGTGGTGGTTCGTAGCTTCATCTTCGAGTCTGAAGCACATGCTATTCAGATCCCACATTCATCAGTGTGGGATTACCTAGCTGTGAGGCTCTCGAATAAAGTCATGGAGTTCACAAAGAGCGTGACGACAGCCGACCAGGAAGCAACCCTGGATGAAGCATGGAACGTAGCTAAGGAAAGGGCGCATACTAGAGTTACTCAAGATAGTATCGAGTATCTGCTCTCCACGAATCATGTCACCATCACAGGCACAGAACCAAAATCAACGATTACTCTGCTTGAGTATATAGCAGAAAATTGGTTTAAACACGCCAAGGTGGCAAAGGGCTTTACAGATTTGACGGAAAATCTGACAAAATCGATAAGCCAACTATTCGAGAAAAAGAACGAGAGAGCGTTCAGGAATTGTGTCCAGCTTTATGACCCCGACTCCTGGTTTTACAAGTTTGCTAAGAATTACGAGAAAGATTACGACCCGACCCTAGGTCGTGGGCAGCAACTTTATTACGCGATTTCCATCGGATTCCCTCAGTTGGCAGGAAACATCGTTGATTTAAGATCAGAGGAGACAATCGAGAAGGAGGTCAACGCTATTGGCGGCTTTTTCGGGACACCTTTGCAGTTAGCCTCCTATAAAGGCTATCGAGAGTTGGTAGCAAAGCTTCTATCGAAAGGATCTCGACCGAATATCGAGGCCGGGTTCTTCGGTACACCTCTGGAAGCTGCAGCTGCTGCAGGAAATTTGCACATTTGTGTGGACCTATTTCAGCACGACGCGGATGTTAACTTTCAAGGTGGCGTTCTCGGGAGTGCTTTCCAGGCTGCTCTAGCTAAAAAGTCTGACAATGTTGTTGAGCTGTTGTTGAATTCCGGGGCCAGAGTTGACAAAGTTCATGGTGCTATGTGGACCCGAGCTTTCGAAAGATTGTCATCATCTGCAAAGAAAACCTATATTCGCATGATGATCAAGATAGGCAACGGCTTTCACTACCCGGATCTGACAATAGAACAAGAGATCTTGGCTATTGTCCTGAGGATTTCGCGAGGAGATGAATTTCCATTCGCGTTTGAGGATCTGAAAGCTCTGAGATCTAGTCGCGCAGTGCTGCCGGATAACAATCTGCGGCGTCACCTGGTCAAAGTTCTGCAGCTTGATTTTCTACCCCGAAACATTAACATAGCTAATCATTTGAAATTCTTCGAGCTTCTTGCGTCTCGGAGAGCGATGATTGAGCAGATCATAGAGAGACTTGAGATTGGAGATATCCATACTATTGGATTTGTCTCGGCACGGCTTCCGTGGGTTGCAATTCTACGTATATTAGAAGTAAGGATTACAAAATCCAAGACCGTACTGTACTAACTTCTACCCAGCTTTTGCCCTTTCTCACGGATCAGGATCCAGCAGAGAGGGTGCGGCTCTTTGAACTGTGTTTCTATCTTTTAGACACTATGAGGATCACCAGATATGAGGACTATTTTAAGGAGGCTACCTTGACTGGCGAAAATCAACTGGTGGAATCAGTTTTGGTTCAGTTATACGAGGCGATTCTGCAACTCGTCCTCGCTATCCACGATCGCTGCTCAAAATCAAGACTCACACGAGCTTTGTCGACAACGTCAAATTCCCCAGGTTTTGAAGGAACTTACCCACGCACGTGAGGTGTTGGATTTGTGTTGTCGTTCTAGCAACCTACCTGTGGATACGATAAATGAGATAAGGGTAGAAGAATTGGATCTGAGGCACCTTTGAAAATTTCCTCATATGGGGACCTCGACACTATCCGAGGCTCTATGCTTCCCCATAACCCGAAAAGAATTTACTTCCTCATTGAGGTCAATCTCTACCACTATTAAGACCGTAATATACCTAGGAACAGACATAATGACTACAACAACGCCTAACGGACATTTGATTATCCGGGTTTCGCAAAGGTATAAGCATGGCAATATTCTGACGATTGATGTAGCAAAGAGAATGCCATTACTCCAGCAGTATCATGCCACATCATAGACCGCTGGGTCTGGATTGGGCTAAGACTTTGGAATTCATCAGCTGTGATGTGGACTGAGTTACAGAGGTATTCGAATATTTTCGGGGAGGAAGTCTAGCCTCGCTTCGCTTCTCCTTTACCCCACCTTCCGCTTTGAGCGTCGCTTGCCACTGAGGAAGCAAGCAGCCGCACAGAAACAAGTCGTGACACTGCAAATTGAAAGAAAGAAAGGAAGAAGAAGATCGGAAAGTCAAATTGATTAATGATCATAATTCATTTGCGGCCCATCTAGTCTAAGAACCAAGATATCTCACACAAAATATACACAAGAAATCTCGTCTCAAGTCTGCATCTCAAAACCTCATGCTCTTAGATCTTGCCGTCCTGGCTATTAGGACTGCTGACCTCCTCTGTATGAGCAATGGCAGTCTTGTTGTGATGATCACCAGCCTCCTCAATAAGAATAGCCCTCGCCTTCTCGGTAGCCATGTCACCACCGAGCAATGCCTGTTCGCCATCGAAGTACTTGACGATCTCCTCAAGGGGAGTGTTACGGGTCTCGATGTAGAAGAAGAAGACGACGCAGAGTTCGACGAACAACCAGACGTCGTAGACGATGTAGTATTTCCAGTCCAGAGCGGCGAGCGCGACGGGGTTGACGTATGAGTTGAAGAAGAGGGCAAGATCGACAGCGAGGAACATGAGGGTCAATCCCTGGTATTCATTAGTTTGGTGTATCTGAAAAGAGTGAAAGAAAGATTTACCTTAGCACGAAGCTTGTATGGGAGAATCTCGACAGCGTAACCGACCAACAGACCAGACCAAGCGCAGTTGTAGAAGACGTAGTAAATGAAGATAAAGGCAACTTCAGCTTGTCCAGCAGCAGCAACAGCGGTCTTGGTAAACTCGGCAGCGCAGATGGTCCAGATGCAGAAGGATGCGCACATGCCGGCAGTAGCGAAGAGGAACAATGGGCGACGACCGAACTTGTCGATGAAGAAACACATCGTGACAGCGGTGAGGAAGTTGATGATGTTCAGTATACCGTTGATCTCAAGACGAAGCTTCGCACTTGTAACACCGGCTCCTTGAAGAACTTGGTTCATGTAGTAAGAAACCAATCCGTTGCCAGACCATTGGGAGAAGAATCCAAGGGAGATGAGAATGATGAGACGATGGCGGTTGCCCTTGGTTTGGAAAAACTCGAGCCATCCGTTTTGCTCGAACTCCTTCTCGAGCTGAAGGGTTTCTCGGATCTCACGGTATTCGATCTGAACAAGTTCGTCCTCGACGTTGCCATTGGCGTGCGCCTTGGCTAGGATGTTCAAAGCTTTCTCGTTCTTGCCCTTTGCGATCAGATAACGAGGGGACTCAGGTACCATCCTAGCAGTAGATAAGTATGAGATCACGAGGCATGCTTCTTAGAGACTTACCAGATAGCAATCAACTGGAGGCAGGAAGGAGCAGCTTGAACGATTGATGGGATTCTCCAGGCCCACGGACCAGCAAGCTGGAAGGTTCCTATATTTGTTAGAACTGATTCGAAAGCTTGGTGATTATCGCAGGGGATTTACCATAGGTCAACCAAGAGGCAACGATACTACCAAAGTACCAAGTACTGTTGTAGATCGTCGTGAAAATGGCTCGATGTTGAGGGTGTACGAGCTCTGCAATCAGGAGAGGAGCACTTCCGTGAGCAATAGCGACACCGAAGCCGATGAGGAAACGAGCCGCAATGAACATTTGGATATTGATGCCAATGGATTGTAGAACAACTCCAATAATCATAATGACACATCCAGTCATGACACCAGCACGTCGGCCAAGAATATCGGCAATATATGGCGTGATGGGAAGAGCGACGATGGAACCGACAGACATGATGGCGTTCAATAGACCTCGAGTTGATGGTCCTGGATTGTGAAATGCTACATGATATGAGTTGGTATTCTGAAGCATTTGCGGAATACTCACATGCTTCCCACTGAGGCAAAGCCTGAAGACCGTTCATCATGGATCCATCGTAACCGTTGGTAGCAGAAGTGAGGACAGCAAACATCAAGCAAATGTATAGAGTCCTCAGATTCGAGACCTTATACCAGGTGACTCTGGGGAACTCTCTTCCTCCAACCTCAAAGGTCGACTTGCTTGCCGTGTAGAAAGGCATCCTGGCGATGTTTCTGAAAGTTTACTGCAAGGAGCAGAAGAAGGATATCCTGAAGGCAGTGGAGAAGAAAAGAAACGGAGTCTCACTCAGATATATACTTGCCCATGTACCGTCTGCTCCTCGGTTAGACCCCTTGGTCATACCGAGCATGGTACCGTCTTGGAATTTATCCGCATTCATCCAGCATTGGCGGCCCAGGCCGTAAAAGTCACCCAACACCACTGTTAGTCCTGTGGCTCGAGGCTCTTCGGCGCCACCGTCCGGATAATCAGAAACACATTTATCCACAGGCCACTGAGCCGCCTGGAGTGCAAATACAGATATAGATCGATCTAAAATTTCATGATAGTGAAGGTTTGTAGTCAGTATAAGCGGAGCCCCAACATCTAGGCCTGGGGTTAGTGGCGTTTCGTTGCTGACAAGGCGAGACTGCTGTTTAGCCTGAATGTTCTAGCGGTTGGGGTAAATTCAAGTAGCGACCGCTGAACCATTTCCGACCATTTCCAGCACAATGCACTCTTTCGCGGGACCAATCAAGATATGACAGTGGACGTCACTTGCTCGAAGTGGGCATTTTTTTTCCACTACACGATGGACGGCTCGTTTCGTCCTTTTGGGGTTCTACTCCAGACTCCAATTATTCATACCCACTTTCCACGCAGTAGTGCATGGGGAACCCCCAAATCCCCAGTGTCCAGCACAGCGGTCGAAAGAATCGTCGTCTGGACGCTTTTGATTGATTTTGTGGGCCGTCCAGCATTTGGCCGCCTTGGCCGAAATATTATCCAAGATAAGGTAGACGACGGGTAAGATGTTCCGGTCAATATCAAGCACGTCAGTTGGGTGTATAGCAAATAGACATGATACTGAATAACACCGCGATATGGCCAGAGTGCAATCGCAGATTCTGATTGAAAATGGTAACAGCCTACCTGCACGCAGATATTATTTGCGGGATCGGCCATGCATGCAGGAAGCAATTCTGAGTAAGACAATATTCTGGCCGCTGTAGCAATATTTTCGAGTATATGATTTGAGTTGCAGCATATTGGTCTAAGAAAATTATCTGCATAGTAGCTTGCATCTCCTGTCGACTCTGGCCACTTGTAATGCCTTGCTCGCGTCGATCGGATGGAACCCAGGGTTCTAGCACTATCAAGCCGTGTCTGATGTTTTGGGTATACTTTGGAGATTCCCGTTGCGTTGGTAATATTCATGGTTCTCGGAACAGGAGCCGGCTGCATGGAAACCTTCTCGATTGATGTGCTTAGGCTGCATGTAAGGCTATGAGGATTGAAGAATCGCGACGAGGGACAAGGATGGGATCGATAGTAGTGGTACCATTATGGAGAGATTTGACAGTGACTTAGGGTTTAAGCTATTGTTGATTTTCCATTCCAGCTTTCCGGAAGACTAAAACATTAGCATGAAGTAGCTGCTTGATTCTGAATCAGGAGAGCATGGACAAGACGGAGGAGGTACTGAAGTGGCTGGAGCACCTACGTCCGTAACCAGCGTTCCGCAATTCAGTCAAGTTCTTACTAGGCCAATTCGTGATCACAGATCCTCCTCGTGCCAACGCTGATCCGACCATGCGTTTCTCCTTGATTAAAAGGAGTCCAACGCAGCCGAGCTCCGAGCGTCTCGACATGAGTCCAAAGCAATAAGAAGTCAGATGAACCAACAGTCACACCTGTGAGCCTGTGGCAAAGTAAGATCTGCGGATACTGGGCTCATCTTGACAACTTTTTTCTGCTCTGGACCATTCGCCCAGTATATCGAAGGTGGGAAGTCCCACCAGCGGCTCGTCGTGTGTCAGCACTCGATAGTCGAACTTGGAGTGTAATTTGCCATTGAAACCTCCTTCGACGCCGTCCGTGAGAGCGTGACTAACCTCTCGTCCGTAAAATCTTGCTCCTCGGTGAGGTGAGGCGATGCACTAAAGCCTTGCTCTAGTAAATCCAGGTTTCCTGTACGGGAGGAGTTCGCAGTGACAGGTGAGCATTGCAATGATCAGTTGATCTCACACTCTTTGCCCTTCGCTGCATGCTGACCTATCGACAAAGAGTGTTTGTGAGAGTGGGAGCGGAAGGACAGAAAGCTTCGATATTGACAGCCCATTCGGAGATTGAATGCTCCTTGATCCCAACTGGAGTCAAACGAGATATCCCCATGCAGTCGAAAAGCTTAATTGTCATTCAATCCCAAGCTCGACTGCCCCTTTCAAAGTAATTGCCACAAACCAAAGCGCTCTTGGTGCGAAAAATCCACGTGTAGACAAGTACACATGCCGCACTTAACGATTGTTCCAAAGGAATGAAATCAGCAACAAAGGTCGACAACGACGAAGAAGGAAGGAGATGTTCAAGTCTGCATATCTCTGGTCTATGAAGGACATAGCCAGCATCGCTACTCTCAAGGCTTGGGAACGAGTTTAGTGCAAGGCGTCCATCCTGGGTCTTCCTCCACCCTGCAGAATGGAGTAATTCATATCGATGTATGGATTCAGCTAGGAAGGAGAACAGCATCTGAGCGATTCGACTTGAGCTCTCTTCGACGGCTCTTTCAACACGCCCGCAAGCACAGCATTGTGCGAGTTGGCTGCTAGGCAAGTCTGGCAAGGACGTCAGTGCTTAGTTATAATTGACAATGGATGTGGAACAACTTGGCATAATATCGAGATGTCTCATATCGCTGGAATAACTTCTAAGGTTGCGAGAAGAAGTGATTGCAGTTGGAGAAACATTGTTGTTGGATGTTGCGGGGCACGCACGCGTTGACAGAAGCTCGTCGCGGTCGCGAAACCCTATCACCACCAATTTCGCGGCTTCGCAGTGCAACACTCTCCCAACATCTTCACACTACCAATGCCACCGATTGAGCGTGCATCCTTCATATATGCCAACAGAATCAAGCGCTGGCGAAATGATATCGAAGGGAACGATTACGGCTCCTGCGCATGTCGTTGAAGGCAGCATTTGGTCGTGCCCGGGTATGTTCAACAACGTTAGGCCACAGAGGCACAGCAACTTCACTGTCTACGAGTATACTGCCAGGGACCTTATTTCGACGCACTTCAACCTTCGAGCGTCCCTCTTCGAGTTCGTCGTTACGATGGCAGACTCCGCAAAGACTGTGGATACCACGTATGGACGAGCAGCCCTTGCTGATCTGCCTGATCTGCCAGATCCACCTTTCGAACGCCTCAACGATTGCCAAACAATCATATCTACTCCAATGATCTGTGATTGCGCATAGGAATACCGGAAGGCCCCATACTGACTTCTTTGCTAGCTTGTCATTTGGGTATGGCATGGAGACATCTGCCAGTGGAACGCACAGGGAGGAAGACACGGGACACTGTTGAGGTGGCACGTTGGTGCCAACCAGCTACGGCTACGGCAAGTTGCGATCAGAGACCCAAGGAGAATCCTAGACCATTTGTCGAAAGTCATAGAGCCACTCAAGGACGACAACTGCATACTTTTCGGCTATCTGGCTCGGAGCAAGGACAATTGGTCTAGGAACGAGGGTTACACGTTAAGTGACGTTGTTGCCTTGTCTCCTGTCAATTTCCGTTGGCTCAGAGAAGTTTCCGAGATCTCGGAAACATTTTGTTGAAAGTTTGCCCGGTTGCGGCATCTAGCGGATACTGTGCCTTTCCTCTCTCACACCCTCTTTTAACTGCTTAGTCAAGCATTGTGTATGTGTATACATCATAGATAAGTGTTTCTGGCTTCGTGCTGCTACTCTGTACTACCACATATGTCTCCGACATTTGTATTGCTTGATGCGGAGACTTTTGAAGCATAAGATATCGAGATCTGCTTCTGTCAACCTCCTTCATGGTAAGTATAAAAGCTGTCTGTCCCCTTTGTTATTTTCATCTCATCAAATCGAGTTCATAATCTGTCGTCTTCTCTACCTCATGGCTCTCAAGAATATCCTCGTTACAGGTGCGACTGGGAAACAGGGAGGAGCAGTTATTCGCGCGCTCCTCTCCAGTCCAACTCCCAGCTTTCACATCTATGCACTCACACGCAATGCCTCATCGCCATCTGCACAAGCTCTAGCATCAAAACCAAATATCACCGTCGTGGAAGGCGATACCAGCAATCCGGCACCAATTTTCACATCCATCTCCCAGCCTGTTCACGGCGTGTTCTCAGTCACAGTCCCCAACCCATTCAAAGCCGGCTCCTTCGAAGAAAACCAAGCCATCCCTCTCATCGACGCCTCTGTCAAGCATGGCGTGAAGCAATTCATCTTCACTTCCGCTGATCGTGGTGGACCTGGAAAAGCAGACAACGATCCCACTCCAGTCCCGCATTTCATCACCAAATTCAACGTCGAGAATCATCTCAAATCAAGGAATATGCAATGGACGATCCTCCGCCCTGTCGCTTTCTACGAGAATCTGACTCCAGACTTTATTGGCAAGGGATTTGCAGCGATGTGGAGACAATTGGGAGACGTGAAGCTTGGCTTAGTCGGCACCAAGGACATTGGACTCGTTGCTGCGAAAGCGTTTTTGCATCCAGAGAATTATGCCAATCGAGCAGTCACTTTAGTTGGTGACCAGCTCACTTTTGCAGAAGCAGACAAGGCGTTTGAAGATGTGGTTGGAACCAAGATGCCAATAACGTTCAACTTGGTCGCTAGTGGGCTCAAGTGGATGATTCATGACCTGGGGGCGATGTTCAAGTGGTTTGGGGAGGGCGGATATGCTTGGGATATGAGTGGTGTGAGGAAGGAGGAACAGCTGATGGATTTTAAGACTTGGTTGAAGAGTGAGAGCAAGTTTCAGAAATCGTGATTTTATTCTGTTTCGACAAGATTTGTTGTACAATAAGAGAACTGTTTGCAAGGAGTACAATTTCTCGTTTGGAATAATGCAATTGCCTCTTGATGCCGAAACCAGCCTTGACCTACCAGCCTACCAGTCTTTCCTGTTTGTTTCAGATATTGTAAGCCGAGCTGCATGAGCGACAAAGTCGATCCTCTCCATCACATGGTTCAACTCAGGTGGAGCCGCAAAAGCACATCCTCAGGATCGTCGGGCCGCGAAGCCGTCGTCACTGAACCTTGTCATTTTCTATCGGGCCTACACGTGTCTGATGCTGCTGAATCGAGAAACACGAGATATGCAAAGGAACGAAAGAACTCACTCCTCCATGCATGCCATTATTGTATTGAAACCCCACTTTCGGGTATCTTTTCGATGCGCCTATTCTTTGATTTCGGCTTAGTGCTGGGTGTCATAGTCTCCCGGCTTTCCCTTTCATGGAAGAAGCTATGATGTATCCTTCCGCAGAATTCTCTATTTTGCAAAGTGTCCAGATCTCCAGGTTATGATGCCCTAGAACACACACAAGCTGGAGTTACTTGGGCCGAAAATACTGCGGTGAGATCACGTGGTCATCTCAAGGTTGCATGATACGAGGATATCAAGTCACCGCCATGAAGAGAACATCCCCAAAATAATCATCAATTGCTTCTATAAGTACAAAGGTATAAGAACTCTGGACCCAACCCAAACAATAAAACAAATATGCACCTCCAACTAGGCCCCCACCATCCGGAAACCCGAACGCCAGATGCCAAAGCAAAAGTACTTCTTGAGTACAGGTAAAGGTGATACCCTCACCTGACTCCCAACCACCCACCCAGAAAAAATCGTGGACTCAGTACCCGTCCCAATCCATGAAGGCATCACAGCTGAGGACGAGTGCTAGTTGTACAGCGACTCTCTCACGAGATGGGCCAGAAAGCAACGTCAACCTTAGTCGTACCATCGCAAGTGTCGCTATGCTCCTTGTCATCATAAGCCCATGAGTATGCGTCAGGGCAGAGTCTAGAAGTTTCATGTCAGCATATTTCTTTAATGGAGGACGAAGACAAGGGGAACTTACGAGTGAAGAAACTGGCTAGAAGGAGGGCAAGAGTCAGGTGTTCCAAATGCACCAATGCAGCAGTGATCATCACGACCGGTAACCTTACAGTCTGACGTGCAGCCATAGATTCCCTTGTCATTCCAGAGACTGGCCTTGGGGCAGGTCTTCTTCATTTGAGGGGCAGCGACGTTGCAGCTGCGGGATTTGCAGACACCTGCCGAGTTGTGCAAAGTCATGTTGAAGTTTGAAGTGAGGCCGTCGACTGTTACTGTGTTAGTCTGATTGTGTCGAGTTGAGGGAGGACAGCTTACCATTGCTGGGGTTCCAGTTGGTGAAGGTACTCTCATCTGCCTTTTTGGCATGATGATACTCGAACAAGGTATCAATGGGTCCCTTTCCATCACCAGCACAGTGCTTGCAGTCCTTGTCGCAGTTGAACTTGGGCTGGAAGCGGCCATTGTGCTTGTTCGCACCAGGTGGCAGGAAGTTTCCAATCTGGAGAGTGGTGTTGGGAGCAATGTAGACCATAGGCGTCTTGGTATCAAAAGCAAAAGGGGTGACCTTGAGGGTGGCGGTATTCATTGCATGACCGAGAACACACATGCCCTTAGTGTCCATGTTGTAGATATTGTGCGGCATTCTGGCATTGTTCTTCTTGGCGTACGCATCGGCCACAGCGGGGTCGGTGCCGTTGAGATACTCCATGTAGAAGCCCTTGGAGGGATCTGCGTGGACAACTTGGTTGTAGTCCGTGTTCTTCAGAATCTCGACAATGTTTTCGAGTCCAGAGTGCTTGACCTCAGTCTGCTTGGGTTGATCTGGGACAAGAGCAGATGGGACAGCCTTGCCTTGAGCGGTGAGAGCCTCTTTGACTTGACTGGCAACAGCATTTGGCACGTTCTGAGCCTTGCTGTAAGCTGCTTCCTGCTTCTTCGCTTCGGCGGAGGGAAGAGGCATCAAGGTCATAATCTTTGTCTCGGTGGCGAGGGCAACGGTAACGAAGGTGGTGAAGGCTGGAGTAGATTGTGCGACACTGGCGACGGAGGGGACTGTCGTAGCTGGGAGCTCGATGCTCACTATGGAAGAGATAATATTCGCGATGCTGGTTGTGACAGTTTCCGGTTTGGCATTGGCGACGGAGGAGTCCATGCTTGCGATTGAGTTGAGAGGTGATGGAGCGAGTGTGGGGATAGTAGGGGAAGTGACAGCAGGCAGAACTGCAGCGAGGGAATCGAGGCTGGGGTTCTGGGTGATGATTGCGCTCACGGAGCCCGAGCAGGCCACAAAGGCACAGGTAACTCTTTGGAGATGCATTATGTGCTGAGTTGATGTTTAAATGAATGTATGGGTTTCTGCCTGTCAGTGTATGGGGTTTTGGGTAAACGATCGGACGGGGGTAGAATTTCAGAAATGAGCAGACTTGGGATTATATATACGCCTTGGGGCAGGAAGAAGCCACTTGCTTCAGCAATGCAGGTCTCCATGACCTCACCAATATAAGACGATACTGGTTAAAATTGGCCGTCAAGAAAACTTTTCTCAATTCCACAACCCGACTTAGTCTGCAGACATATCTTAATTTAGAAATCCGTTGATGATGGTTTGGCGTTGGATCCAAGTGAGGCTCATCTGTCACTCAACTCTATTCGGACGCTTGTCTATGGTCGAGGCTATGGTGTCGTTTGGCCCGTGTATGGGCAGAAACTGCGTCGAAGTGTGAATGAAGCGAGGGAGCTGTTCTAAACTAGCTTGCTTTCGTGATGTTCCGTGAAGGGCGAGGAAATCTTGGTAAGCTACTTGAATCTGCCGCAAGCGTCCACAATAATTGAAATCTTTGAATATTTCAATAAACAGTTTCTGTTCCACCTTCATGGAGCTCCTGGTCGAACTAGGTATCTTCGAAGTCTGGATATCCACGGAACACTCACAGACGTCATCAGTATTTGCAACGCTGAGGAAGAGCGCCAGACTGAAAAAGGATATCCGGGTGCATTTCAATGACCGCACTGAAGGTCCTTACATGCACCATTGAATTTCGATGCTTCTTAGATAATGACGCTCGAGCTCACTTGCAGTCTTCTGGGTGACAACTTTCCACCAAAGTCGCAGCATCAATGGATTGGACACACGTTCGTCATCGAAGATGTTTGGGAACACTCTGTCATGTAGTACTGACATTGCAGTTTCTTTTGCTCCCGGAGCTCAGGGTGGGGACGAGTGTGTAGTTTGAATAAGTCCAGACTTGGCCTCTTTCGGATTCATATCGTACACGGGTGGATATGCATGATTTATCATATCTCTGCGTTAATGTTAGCTTTCCCTGCTCAAAGTAGAGACGAGTTGCAACCGTTATGCTTGACTTACATTTACCGTAGCAAACCTGGCAGTTCCGACTTCTAGCATCCATCTTAGAGAGTGCACCAATTAGACACAACGTCAAAATGGCAAGCATCTGCTTGTATCTCAATCCAGAGTTCCGGAGCGGTGAAGGGGAGCAGGACACAACATATATAATCGTCCATCGGTTGACTCATCGGTTACTCCTTTGCCCGATGTTGGATCGGCTGACCTCGCAATACATCTGGACGCATCTCGAGCTGGATATGTTTTGATGCTAATCAACAATTGTGCGGGGCGCTTACCGCATGGAAAGTAGTGACTTTCATCATCTACCTATCAAAGTACGGGACCGGTCGTGGACATCGATGATGCTGTGTTTGAAATCTCGTCCAAGTGAATTCCTTGCATGATTGATTCGATGTCTGGTACGTGGACTGAAATAAGGTCAGTCTGACGTCTTCAGATATATCGAAATTGGTAAAGCGGAAAACGAAAGGAGTGAATAATTATTCGTGATGAAGATGTTGAGAAGGCCGAAGAAGGAGATGAGGTTACTTTTGTTCGGTTCTTGTTTGGGATTAGCGTATTGACGGAAGCCAAACCTCTTTCGTCATCCTTCGCGCCCTTCCAGGCAATGCCAAAGATGGGGAAGTCGGTATGGTTGATATCCAAGACATCAAAAGTGCCGAGAACTTGTACTTGTGTTGTTGCCGATTGATCATTAACGTAGCCTCGAACGCTTCCTTGCAAACTCCTACCCAATTCTCAATCAAACACCATCATGTCAGGACGAAGAGACTTCCAAAAAGAACAGCTCAAAGCGTTAGTATTTGACCTCATGGGAACATGCTGTGACTGGCACTCAAGTCTCCTCCCGTCTCTTCAAGCAAGCCCTACTTTGGAACAGCTTCCAAGTTCAGAGCTCTCAAAATTTGCGAACGACTGGCGAGCTGGCTTCTTTGCCGAAATCCATGCTCGTTTCCAAGCTAGAGATCCTACTGAAGACATTGATATCACGCATCGCCGACTTCTGGATCGCTTGTTAAGTGCTCGTGGTGTTGACTTGAAGATATGGGATGAAGATGTAAGGCAGAAGTTGGTCGATCAGTGGCATTTCCAAATTGGTGAAAGAACCGATTCATTTCGAAGATCGCACAGCTTATTATCTCCAGGGTGGCCAGATGCTCTTCCTGCTCTCTCCAGGCTGCGTGAAAAAAACTTCCTGTATGTCGGAAATCGAATCAGAAGCTGATGCTGATGACCCGAAGTGTTGTTCTCGCCAATGGGACTACAAGACTGCAGCTTGACATTGCAAAGTACTCAGGCCTTCCTTTCCATGCACTGTTTTCTTCTCAACTTCTAGGCCTTACGAAGGTACAGCGCTTCCATGCTCTCGTGTCCCATCGTTGACTTTGTCCCAGCCTGATCCAGCGATCTATGTGAAGGCGATGGAGCTTATGCAACTGAGACCAGAGGAATGTGCAATAGTTGCAGCTCATGCTTATGATCTTAGAGCTGCCAAGAAGTTGTAAGTGCCTCTGCCATTGAGTGGTGATCCCGTATTGAGCTGTATCAGGGGTATGGGAACTATATACATTCAGCGTGCAACTGAGGATTTGGATGAGGATATGACTGCGATCAGAGAGGAAGTAGATCTTTTTATCGATGGGACAGGTGGAAATGTATCTTCTGGCCTAGGAGAATTGGCTGATATGCTGGGCTATGGTGTTTCCATACATCAATCACGTGCACATTAGAGTTATCGCCCCTAACCCTACCTACCTAGGTATCTAGCTAAGCAGCAGCTGTAGCACAATTCCAGCTCTCAGCGTGTCAAGCAAAGAAGATTCTTTGCCTTTGCAGTATTACCTTGAGATCTGATAGATGGTCGGAATTTGGATGAAAAATGCGGAACACTCCAATTCGTACCTCTACAATGTTTGCTCGATTTCGCCAGGCGGTGTGACGGCTAGAGTAAGGTCATATCCATGAGCGAATAGTCGAACCCCAACATGAATACACACGAAGTTTTGATAGATATGAAGACTCGAAAAAGTGAGAGCATGGAGGGTAGTGAAGGAGACAAAGGCATTGGGACAATGTTCAGAATCAAGTGGAAGTGAAAACTCTATGTATTGCTTCGATGAAACTCAGAACAGCTCGATGTTCTCACTGTGAGAGCAAGCGACTAGACAGGCGGGTAGTTCAACTTATCGTTGATCTGATACCACCCGCCACGAATCGCAGGTGAAACTGGCATCCAGGGTACAGGATATGAAGTCCAGGTGTCAGGATCAATCTCATCACCATAAGGCTTTCCTCCCCATGCAAGTCTTTGGACTTCAGGTTCTTCCGCCACTTTCTCAAGTCTCAAGGTAACTTCGCTCATAATGGCACGATGACTCGCATAGCTACCATCGGTTTTCAAGTAACCTCTAAGGCAGTGTTCTGGCTCCACGGAGCGGAGTGCCCGATACATGCCTCTTATAGATCTCGTTTCAGGTCCACATAGCTCAGAGTTTAGTTCCTCCGTCCAGCGGAGATTCATGATCTCCTCCATGGTCGCACTGTGCAGGGCGGTATCGACTGCGTTAGGGGCTTCCTGATAAACGTCGAAATTGATGAGGAGACATCCTTTGTCTGAAACCGCTCTTGGCATGGATGGAAGGTTCAAGGCTGATTCTTGCGCATAATTAGGTAGTCCCACGAGCTTTCTTGAGTATGGAACGACTTCGAAGCCCCGAGATACATACTTGGCAACACACTTAGGAGCTTTGGCACGCTTCACTGGATGCAGGACCCAATCAAGATACCAGGCCACCAATTGATTCTGCGAGCTGATGTTGTGATACATCGATACAGCGCACGATGCTGAGATGAAGCACTGAACAATGCTCGAATGGAACTCCAAGATCGTCTGGAACGCACCCTTTCTGATCTCGTGGTCCCACATGACTTGGATGCTATGCCCATTCAGTTGACCTTCGACCGTGCTGAAGTTGTCGCTGTATTCCCCATACTTTTTTCTTTCAGCCTCGTTGGTTTCCTTGTTGCTCTTCTTGTTGATCCCCCATGTTGCGCCCAGACTCGTGAGCAGATGAGTGAATTTGGCGACGGCCACGTCTCCTCCAGAGCAGTAAAAGTCCCAGTCTGACTCTGGTGTACAAGCATGTGGGTAGAAGAAAGCTGCAGCTCTAGATCCTGAGAGACCTACGTTAGCATGACACATTGACTTCAGAAGAAAATCTGGGTCGTCAATCAGAGTCGTAAAGTAAGTCCTTGGGTTGTACTTGTGATATTTCGCTTGCCCGATGGTCAGGTCCTCCGTGATGTCACAGAGAGACTGTAGCCCTTCATGAGGCGTGGTAGCGATCCTGGCAGCTACCTCTGCAGAAACAGGATGAGGTGTAGTAGTATTTGCAGACATGATTGAAGAATTATGAAAGCAAGTGACTGGGGAGATTGCTGTTTGTAGATGGCCACTGGCCAAGTCTTATACTTTGATCTGACTTGAAATGGAAGGAGATGGACTGTATTTTCGAGATATGCAGGTCTAACATCATATCCTGCATGTATCGATCCTCGAGCAACTATGCAATACCAGGATCTGCAGAACTGCGGCAGAAGTCTTTGGTTGAGAAAAACGTGGCAGATCCTAGAAGCTCTCAGTCACAAAAGAGCAAACGATGATGAATTTGTATTCTCCTCCGTTAAAGACTTCAGAGGCAGATGATAGAAACGGAATTAAAGACCCGGGTGATTTATGGGCACCTCCTTCATCATCAATGAGGCCACAATTAGCAGTGAAACACCTTTCTCTGGATCAATACTCTTTGTGGGCTTTGACACCAACCCAAAAGATTGCTTCTATTATTCGGCATCTGTCAAATTTGGAGAGCTTATACACGGTGGACGGAGAAAGGGCAGGAAATGGTTTCGCGGCTGACTGTATGTGTGTAGAGTTCACAACGACAGAAATACCCAATGGAAAAGGATCGATCGGATGGAAAGCAATGTGGAATTTTGGCAGTGCAAACGTAACGGAGAACACATACCATGCTGTATTGTCGAGTTCGGGTAATGCAGATGGATGGCGACAACTGAAGTTCCTCAGCCGTTTGATGAAGAAGCTTGATTTGGATACTCCAGCTCAGGTCCGCTTGAGTCCAAGGCTAGGAAAAGTTCTCTAAGGACCGACTGCTCAGGACACCGTCCAGAATTGCGCTCGAGCCTGTGTGCTAATGCAACATCGGCGCTACCTAGGTATGTATGCCATGACCTCGGTCACGAGAAATTCGAGCTGTGTCCTGCGGACAAAAAAGTTCATAGATACAATCGCCACTGGTGACACAGGGGCAGCTGCTTGCCAGTTTAGTATACCTTTTGTGAGCCCGAATGTGCTGGAGGCGAAGTAGAGGCGACAATTCTTTCTACTTCGAAGTAAGAACCTCCAATGTTCTAGTTCTCATGTCCTTCCTCATCTCTATAAGGCCCACGATATCCTCGATCGTTCATCCCATCATCGTGATGCTTCAAATTGCGATAGACGTCGATCTGGTTTCACTTTGGCATTGCCAAGTCTTTTGCGGAGCCTCTGCAACGGATCGGTCTGTCCTGGATGATCTCCAATCCATCTCAACAGTTGCAGCTACAAGAGTGGTATGATTACAATTGGCAACCAACAGCTCTGTGAGGCACAAACCCGTGTGTGCATCATCTCAGCATGGCGTTATTAGCCATACGAAAATGTACGAAGTACACCTCGCAGTACCGTTCTGTCGGCCGACAATTGATCTCAACTATGAGACTCTGCGAGACCCGATCGTCGCAATAAAAGGTTCACCGTCTTTCCAACATGGGGCTCCCAAGTCTAAGTTTTAATTTATTTCCCAGAAGCGAGAGGGAAACACGATGTTTGTCGAGGAAGCTCGCCTCCGGGAGAATAAGCTCAAAGCCCCCAAAATAACCTTCCGGCATGCACGTCACTGCTAGACACTGCCGACTTGAATTTTTTATCGCCGGAATACGAGAAGAGTCCCTTGCTGCTATCCATTGAACTGATCACAAGACTCATCAAATGGGTGAGACTTTGGCGACAATAGAGTGGTATGGATCACTAAAGTAGCTATAGCCTTTCTTGGCGCAGGGAGTTGACATGAAAAGTCCCCTTCTTTTAGTGGTGATCTTTAAGCTCGTCCGTCGAATACGAGCTCCCAACGTCATTGACGATCTCGGGTCTCCGCAGCGACAACCATCACCAGTTCCTGCCATTTCTGCCGACAAGAAGCATGAGATCTTCAAAGTTAATATAAAGGTAAGCCAATTTCTCCTTCTCTGATCATTCGGATCAAGTTCATCTCAACCATCAAACACTTTCGCTACAAACATCACTGTCGCTTTGAATTCACATCCTCGAAATGCGCGCATCAATAATCACCAGCATCTTGGCCTTCGCGGCTTCTTCAGTCACAGCACAATACCTGAACCAATCTGCTCCTTTCTACCTCGTCCTCAGCTCCCGAAACACCTCATTCGATGGCGTTTCGCTCTCTACCTGCCACGAAGGAGCTGCCATTGAAGGCCTCTGCCTAGGCAGCCAACTCAGCAATACCTCCGTTACCTATACATTCAACACCTCTTCATTCCTCACACCCGATCCTGTCCTCGGCACACCGGGCAGTCTCAATTACGAGCTTGAGGGTGGAAACTTCAACCTCTCTTCTCCAATGACGATCTCCTCTCCCATCACTACGAACGTCGCAGTCCCATTGTTTACACCGAGCGAAAGTTTCACGGAGGTTGGATTCGATAACGAGAATAAGCTATACGTTTATGGAACTATTGATGATACGGTTTCGCCTCCCGTCTACAAGGTGCAGGCTTTCTACCGGTGGTACGTCTGCTTGACGAATGCGGGATACACATACACGACTCTTTCATGGGTAGTTGGCCCTCACAGCCCTGAGAACCCGAGCTGTCAAGAGGTCGAGGTGAAGAGGGTCTTTGCTTGAGATGTTTGGATTGTTTGGTGGACGTAATGGCAAATTGGCACGAGTTGGACACATTGGAAAAGAAATGATGGCAGGCAGATTGTATAGCAGCATAATGATAATGAGAGCTTGAGAATACCCCCAAAAGCTGATCCTTAGTGGGGTCGTTTCTTCTTTTCCTCGTTCCGTCTTCAGTCGAACGTTGTCTATGTTTCGTTGTCTTCTATAATGAATCCTTCAGGTACCCAGCGCTTCAGGGGTCAAGGCTAATACGTTAATTGTTTGGCGAACGGTATTATATAGTCTTACCAACCTCACTCGTTGCTCACAATGCTCCATCTTTTCAATGATCTTCCTAATGGAAGCTTCATACTCGGCCAGAGCCCTGCTCGATTTTCCGCCAGACCGCCATACACAGTGCATGGCATAGCAGAGTTGTGCGTATGCACTCACGATTTCTGCTTGGGTTCCTTGGCAACTGTTCGCTTTTGTGATAATTTCCCGAAGAACCATCTGCACCTCATTCTCACCAGCCCTCTTTGCACAAAGCAACACGATTTTAGCGAGCATTCCCATGGTGATGAGATTGAAATCATCGTTGTCCAACGATCCCAGTACCAGTGTATCTTCATTTTCAGCCCGTATACCATCCAAGCGCATCTGAAGGTGCGTTCGTAACCTGTTCGTGTATTCTCTCCAAATTCGTTTCTGCAATTCGGCCGGCAAACGAAAAAGCGAGTAATCCCATGGCAGCATCCAATCGTAAGATGTCTTCGAGGCCAGTTTCTGCTCTGGAGTGGAACGTAGTCGATGTTCAGACGGAATGGTAACATCAGAAAGATACTCAAAGACCGCTGACAGGAGTAATTCCTGGGTCAATGCAAAATCCAAATCCAACAATGATTCTGCCATTTCGAGCTGGAATCCAAGGCGACGTAGGGGATCACTTCGTTCCAAGTTCTTTGCTGTTTCGTGCTCCAGCCATTCTTTCCATAAAACATCCGTCGTGATTTTTGTCCATGATGCACTTTCTGGTCGTTCAACTGGCGCTACCAGCGCAATCTGCGCATTTTGCGCGTTCAGCGCATATCGCGCACTCTGTGAGCTCCGCTCTCGCGATTCTACTGCTTTCTCATTGCGCACTGTTGCCAAATTACCCCCATCTCCACTCTTATCCTCCTCCAGACCAGTCTCGTGTCTCGGAGTCTCATACGTGATCGCCATGGGCGTCTCTACATTCATCAGCCAAATCAAAACACACACAAGAGAACCACATACCTGCACTTGGCGAAACCACCATCTCATGCCCCAACTTACGTTTCTTAAAAGCAACCATCTTCTCTGGGCTGATTTGTTGCCCTCTGCAGTAGAAGGTCGTTTCTTTACCTTCTTCTCGTGCCCGCTTGTTGGATTTGGCAACTAAGATGCACATGTCTTGTTTGCTGAGATTCTTCTCGAATGACCACGCTTTCATTTGCATTTTCCATCTTCGGAGACTGGGGTGGAGTCAGCTTCGACTTCAAGCATGAGCTTGGGCTTACCTGGCCTTGAACGAGTATTTGCTTTCTATCTCTGTCATCGTCGCTTGGAGTGTCATTCCCTTGACGAAATACAAATGATGGACTTCTTCCTTGATTGACTCCCATTTCTGGCGTTTCTGAATGCGGCGAGATGGTTTGCTGACTTTGGTTGGCTGCTGTGTCGCTGTGACAGTGGTGTTCGGAGATGCCGAAGGAGCTGCTGACGGGGACTCATTTGATGGAAGATCCATAAATTGCACAGACCACGGATGCACTTTGCAGTGCTCGAACCATTCTTGAACGTCTGAGAATGTCGAGGGACAGTGGGCGCATGCAATTCGATTTTCTGCTTCTGCGTCGTCGGCAGGTGAAGGGCTGAGAGAGTGGTGTGATGTTGAACTGTGTTCGAGCTGAGATTCTCGTCGAGTGGAAGAGCTATTCATGTTAGCATATTTCGATTCAAACACAATCGCTCGAACTTCACATCCAAGCCTATCAACGGGAAGCAATAAATTTTGAAAAAGTTGCGTGAGCTTACCTGGCCATCTGCGAGGCTGCAGCCTCCGCCGATGCAAATTCCATCTCTCCAAGTTTCCTTTTCATCGCATATTATTTCCACTTCTCTCTATCACATAAAGAATTCAGATATAGTGCTCAGCAAGAATGATACACAGAAACAAAAGGGACACGATGCACTTTAAATCCACGTCACTTCAGCTGAGGAACTATTGAGGCTGTGAACTCGCGCGAAGCGAACCATTGAGCGGCGAGGACAAAAGTGCAAGTTTGAGATCCGCCACCCAATAAGCTTAAAATAAAACTAGGCTGCATGGAGCGCCGAAGGGGGCCAAATTGTTAAAAGTGCAGGTTTGGGATTGTTGGACGGGGTCACGTGTTAGTGGTGATGCTCAGGTAGGCAGGCGTAGATAGTTTGCCATTCATCGAGGTGTTGTTGCTTTGTTTACGAGTATACGGAGTACTGAGACATGGGAATCTATTTTTGGGGCGTAGCAGAAATTTGCAGTACTTCGTGATAGTTGAACAGTATGCCTAGATTGAGGTTGATGGTCGCAGCGAATAATGACAGTGAAGGCTGGACGAGGGGAAGTAAGAATTCTTGCATATTGAAAGAACTAAAATGAAAAAGAGCCTAGCAGCATTCACCTCGTCCTTATAATAAGTGTATATTCAATCATGCACTTCATAGTACAGTTCGAAAGAAGAACAAAAAACTAGTACGACCAATTTTGCCAAACGATATCTATACACCTGTGTCTGACAATTCAAATAAGTAAGAAATAACTAAGTAGCAGGAGAAGAAGGAGTTCCTTGTTTGGCAATTAAGATTTAACTCACCTTACCCAGCTACTTATCATGGCCCACTTAGTGTAACCACCTCGAAGATTAACATCCCCAGATCTTGGTTCGGTAATTTACGTCAATTTAGCTCACGTCAAAACGTCATAGCATGCACTCTACTTTGTCCCGCCTCGCATTCTTATACTTAGGATAGTATAGATGATCGCCAGGTTCGCGAGCTGAGTTGCAACCATTTATTGCCTTGATAGTATATAAAGGAAGGGAGTTGATCCAAGAGCGAGATCTCTGGACAGTATTGCAACACATTATCAAAGAACGTGGCACCAAACACAATGGCACAGGATAGCCAGTATAACCAGCCCTATTATCCTCCAAACGAGTCACTCTTGCAACAAGACCCGAATGCACATTATCAAACGCCTCCAGGATACGTACTCGTTCCCATTTCGCAGTTAGACTCACACCTCAAACCTCAAACCCAACCTCCTCCGACACAACCATCTCAACCATTACCCCCATCGCCACAGCTGCCTCCGCGACCACTCACTCCCAATGCCCACTCCGTGTCACAGCCAGCCCCATCATACCCTTCTCAGCACGTTCACAATGCTCCTCATACACCAGCTCTCAACGGCTCAGTTCCATCATTCCCGACACAATCGCCATTCGTGCTAAATATCCACCACATCAACGACCAAGCAGATCTCTTCCTTCCCCCATCCGCCACACCTTCAGATTCCGTTGGCTACGAAGCCACCTACCGAAAAATGGATTACACGGACCGCAAGAATCCTCACACGACAGTCTACCAGCGCACACCATCAAGCGTCCGAGGCCAAACACAAACCAGACTCGCCGGTAGCTGCATCTATCACCACTACTGGTCGAACCGACTCACCATGAACATGCCCTTCCTAAACGAACCATGGGACTTCGAAGAAGCGTGGGTCTCGGACGTAGGGACTTGCGAAGGGAGGGCTCTGCAATGGCGTCTTGGAGCAAAGGGCAAGAAGGCATTCGTGCTAGAGTGCGCGGAGACGAATATGAAGGTTGTTTGTCGGGTTGTGATGGATACGATGCGGAGCGGGAGTATTAATATCATGGTACCGTTTGAGAATCAGAAGCAGATGGATGAGATGGTTGTTGTGGCGGTGTGTTTCATGCAGAGGTATAGGATTAAGGTTTGGAAGGACTCGAAGAGTTTATTGAAGGATGAGGATTGGGATACGTTGAAGAAGGTGATGAAGGTTGCGAATGGGGCTATGAATGCGGGTGGTGGGGGTTCGTAGATGGGAATGTGCTGTGGTGTTTTAGGCTAAGATGGCATTTGTAACGGTGATGAGAACAGAATACAGAAACAGCAGAACTAGCTTCTCATTACAAAGAGCAAAATGTTGAGGAACAGGTCCTAAGGAAGTCTTCATGGCCCGAAACACAAATAGGAAAGCAGATGGTCCTCCTGTGACTCGATCGGTTTTCACTTCCACAGATCCGAGTAATTCAAACTCACGCCAGTCATGCCACTGTCGGTGTAAGTGACACCGTACTTGTTGGAGCTTTTGCCATCATCCATCCCGTCATCGTCTTTCACATGATCGTCCACCATTTCCTCTCTAGTACCGGTAAGAGAATGCAACTTCTCGTCTAAAACTTTGATCATCTCTCTTTCGTTAGCAGAGACTCTAGATCTGTACGGTATGGATTCCAAAGCATCTATTGCATGGAGCATGAAGTTCAGCGCGCTGATGCGCAAACCGTCAATCTCCTCGTCGATAATGCTAGCCTGATCAACGTCCTCGACAGTATCCAATTTCAAGTCTCCTATGTTTAAATCATCAGATGAAACAGGTGGCATATCGATTTCAAGTGGAGGGCGGTGATCTTCGATGAAAGGACTCGGGCTGAGCGATGGTGGTCTTGGTGTGGAGTATGTCACTTGTGGCGGTGTAACTATATGTGTCAGTATAGGCGTGTGAGGCAGAAGTATTCTACCACTTACCTGGAATGAGCTGGGTGTTGATGCCGCCAGATGTCAATCTTCGCTTCTTGAACTGCTCGATCTTGCTCTCATCGACCTTAATGCCTCCGCGATAGAAAGTGGTCTCTTATCCCTCTTCTACCTTCCTTTTCTCGGATTTAGTAGCCATGAACCCAACCTCTTTTAAAGGTATGTTCTTGTCGAAGTTCCATTCTTTCAACTTGTCTTTCCATTTCCGTTTACTAATTGAATGTCAATGAGAGTTTGAGAGCGACGGGAAGGCTGGCGTCACCTTGCTTGGAACTGATGAGTCTGTTGAATGAACTCCATGGTGTCGTTCAGGGTATGATCTTCCAGAATGTAGAACTGACGAATGTCATCTTTGAGCGCTTCCCATTTGAGATTGTTGCGGAACAAGACTCCTTGGTTGGGCTGAGCAGTAGGAAACATGTTGGCGATGTTTTGTCGTTGCTGAAGAGTACTTGCTTGATACAGAAAAGACTCGAAGAATATGCAGAGAAGAGAAATTCCAAGACTGGAAAGAAAGAAGAAATACAGACAAGGCGAGGCTACAGATGAGCCCTCACACCTTGATAGGCCTGCAAGCGAACCACTCAGGAAAAGGTGCAAAAATCTTAGGCCGCAGTCACAGAGTCGAACGCCTCATCTAACCTGTTTCTGAAGCAGCTGCATAGCCAGGAACAGAGCCTTGTGAATAGAAATATATCTCTTGTACACGCTTTCCACCAATCATTTTCCAGATATGCATTTAAGGTCAAGATCCCAACTGCTTGTGAGACTGTCCATCTTTTCGCACTACGGCAAGCTGCGTTCCTACGAGCTCTGAGGTCTGAGACTCCTCCGAATTTAGCGTCATCGGTATGAGTAAGTATCACTTTATGAGCCTTGAATAAGAGTCCCGTTCTCATCCAAGACCGTTAGGCCACGTGATCATCCCCAAGCACACTCGGCTCAGCACTCTTCGTAAGCAATAGCGTGATAGCTACCTGAGCAAATGTACCTGTCCAACATAGAATACCCGACGCCACAGAGAATCGGCCATAAAGTCGAAGACTTAAAACACCAGACACAAAGCTGACGAAAAGGCAACCCCAGAACCAAAATCGGTACCTCAAACCCGGGGATCTACTTCGCGCGATAGGAAGGATGATGAGGTAGACAGACAAGATGGACATCGTAGTCTGAGTTGCATTCGAGAAGAAATTGAGATCGGATTCGAGGTGGACTTGACATGCATTTGTGTTCGGTGTGAGGCCTAGGTGGATGGATATTGCCATGAAGACTGCGCTAGCGGCTAGGAGACATAAAAACACCAATAGGGATGTTTCTGCATGGATGAGGAATGCTTTCATTCTTCGAAACATATTGGTCGCATTTTTGAGAAGTGGTAAGTCCAAGAGATGGTGGACAAGGGGTTCCACATATCGAGCATTCTTGGAGTCAGGGATAGTCTCAAGAGGTCGTAGTTCGAGAGAAGATAGCTGGCTTGCGCTTTGTGAGTTTGATGATGTCCATGACGGTCCTAGTAGAAGGGGAGTAGCATTTCTTGGGGTACTATTCGGAGAGGACGTGAGTGACAACGTAGATTGCCCGGTATTTGGAGAAGGTGACGCTGGTGCTCGAGGTATTCGCTGTCTAAGCTTTGAGAAAGAGATTAGCCAGCGTAACGAACATGGGGACAAAAGTCCGTGCGTTCAGGGCATCAGAATCATGAATTTTATTAATTAATTAGCTGTAGACCAGCCACATCGCTTAATTAAGTCGTGTACCCAGAAGTCCTGCTGCTCAATAAGCCCATTGATCCATTCCTGAGGAATTTTGTCCCATTCTTCTAATACTGCTACAACCATTTGAACCTCAGTTGTTGGCTGCCTTAGGCGCCTATGGAGAGCTTGTTTTATTCTCCTCCAGCACTTCTCAATAGGATTCATATCAGGGCTAACTGCAGGATGGGGGAATAGAGTAATACCCATAGAAGTACGCCAAGTAGCACAAATATTGCTAGTAGTCTTGTGG